GACACAGAAAGAGCAAGTGCATGCCAAGGCAATGCACTGACTTTTTAAAAGTAAAGTAGGAGTTTTTCTTTGGATCAAATGCCATACCAATACACAGCCATGCGCCGCTTACTGACAGTGACACGTTCTGAGAAATGTGTCATTAGACGATTTCATTGTTGTGCGAACATCGTAGAGTGTACTTACACAGAGCTAGGTACTTACACCGCACACTAGGCTATATGGGACTGATCTTACGCGACCACTGTTGCATATGTGGTTTGTCATTGACTGAAACGTCGTTATGCAACGTATGACTGTATTCAATTTTCCACTACAGCTGGTCCCCGACTTGTAACGGTTCGACTCATGATTTTTCAATATTATGATGGTGCAAAAGTGATATGTGTTCAGTAGAAACTATACTTCGAATTTTGAATTGTGATCATTTCCCAGGCTAGCAATGTGCGGTCCGATTTTCCCCTGTGATGCTGGGCAGCGGCAGTGAGCGCAGCTCCTGGTCAGCCCCGTGATCACAAGGTGAACAACCGATACACTGACAACCATTCTGTACCCAGACAGCCCTTCTGTTCACTTTCAGTACAGTATTCAATCAGTTACATGAGATGTGCAACACTTTATTATAAAATAGGCTTTGTGTGAGATGATTTGGCCCAAGTGCAGGCTAATGTGAGTGTTCTGAGCATGTTTAAGGTAGGTGAAGCTAAGCTAGGATGCTCAGTAGGTTAGGGGTATCTTAGACTTATATTTTCAACCTACGATGGGTTTATCGGGATGTAACCTCTTCGTAAGTCGAGGAATATCTTTTGCCTTTGAATCATCACCTTGATCTTTGATTTGTCTTCCCCCTGACTTTTACTAGTCACTCACTGCACTGCTGTTCAGAAAGGCTTTGAACAGAGGCCTGTTTTGAGGCTTCTGGCCTTTACTCTAGATCTGAGATCAAGAAAGCCCTGTGAAAATAAATCCCCAAATCCTTTCTCTGACCCTAGCTTGAGGCTGCCTGCCCTCAGCGAGGAATGTGGAATGGCTGTGGGGAGGGATGGGTGGGGCTGGGTCCCCACAATTGCCGATTTAGGCCTTGACACTGGGCCTCATGTGACCTCAGAACCTCACACACACCCGGATAAACATCCAAGGACCAGGGTCTGAGCCCTATTGTTAACAGAAAAATTTAGATGCCAAAGAACAAATGCAACTTTTCTCTTCAAAAAAATATAAGCATACATCTCTGTTAGTAGGTGTAAAGAAAAATCTAGAAGACTATAAATCAAATTATTGAAGTACTTGTATTTGGAAAGTGGTGACAAAGACGCTCTCCTGACCACACTTTAGTCAGGCTCCTCTGAGCCCGACTGGGTCCTGTCCCTGGGCATGTCTCCAAGAGCCCACTAGTAGCAAGAGTTCTGTCAAGTGGGTTTGGCCAGATCCTGCACCCTCGTTACCTGATCACCCTTGTTAGCTGATTGGGTTCCTCCTCCACCACCATCCCGAGGGTGATGTCCGACCCCCTGGCTTCCTTTAGCAAGAATCCTGTTAGGTCAGTTTAGCCAGAATCCCCCCTTACCCCTCACATTTCCACTTAGTAATGTTCCATCCACTGACCCCTCCTGCTCTGCTCCTGGGCTATAAATTCCCACTTTTTCTTGAGTATTTGGAGTTAAGCCCAATCTCTCTGCCCTACAGCAAAACCTCCTTGCAGTGGTTCCTATATCTACTGCAATAGTCCTGAATAAAGTCTGCCTTACTGTCTTAACACGTGTCATGAGTATTTCTTTAACAGTGGGAATATCTACGATTTTTAATTCCTAAATTATATATCCTTACAATGTTTGCATTTTTCACATAGATCAGTGTTACTATTTTTTTTTTTTTTTGTGAGGAAGATCAGCCCTGAGCTAACATCTGATGCCAATCCTCTTTTTTCCCTTTCATTTGCTGAGGAAGACTGGCCCTGGGCTAACATCCATGCCCATCTTCCTCTACTGTATATGGGAGGCCGCCACAGCACGGTTTGTCAAGCGGTGCATCGGTGCGCTCCCGGGATCTGAACCTGCGAACTCCGGGCCTCTGAAGCGGAGCACGCGCATTAACCACTGGCGCCACCGGGCTGGCCCCAGTGTAACTAACTTTTTAAACAGCTTTCTTAAGGTATAATATATATGCCATAAAATACACCTATGTAAGTGTACAATTCAATTAGTTTTAGTATTTTTATAGAGTGTGCATCACCACAACCCAGTTTTAGAACATTTCCATCACCCAAAAAAAATTCCCTTGTGCTCATTTGCAGTCAACCTTCACTCCCATCTCCATCTCCAGCCACCATTGATCTGCTTTCTGTCTAAATGGATTTGCCTTTTCTGGAAATTTCATATAAATGGCATCAAACAATATATGGCCTTTTACATCTGGCTTCTTCCACTTAATACCATGTTTGAGGTTCATCTGTGTTGCCGCGTGTATCAGTGGTTTGTTTTCTGTATTGTTGGATAGTATTCTGCTGCATGGATGGACCACATTTTGTTTATCCATTTCTCAGTCGATGGGCAAGTGGGTTGTTTACAGGTTTGGGCTATTATGAATAATGTTGGTATGAATATTCGTGTGCAAGTCTCTGTGTAGACAGAAGTGTTACTTTTATAATCAGAAAGAAAGAAAAACAACAAAAGCAAAGGACTACTATGGATTCGCAAACTGTTTCTGGAATGCATCTCCTTTTACCCAAATGGGAGCTCTACGAGTGGGGCTGAAGTTTTGAAAAAAGCAGAAGGAAGTGAGCCCCTGACAGCCTTCCCTTGACCCTGACATGGGCACAGCCCAAGAGGAACAAAGAAGGACGAGGGTTCCACTCCTCTGGAAACTGCTTATACTAGTCCGGTTCCTCCAACGCCTCTGAAGACACAGGACATCTATCTCATTATCCCACTGCAGCTCTGATGTCAATCTCAGCCCAAACATCAGGACCCTCTTTAAAAGTCCTTTGGTTCAAAAGCAGCAAATTAAGGCCACACCAATTACCTGACTCTGCCGTGTTTCATAAAAGTTCACCAGGGCCGTTTGCATCTGGAGTGGCTCTGGAGAGGGCCTGAAGCTTTGGGGCAACTTATTGGCTGAGTTGTTAAGATTTAGCAATTCAAGTTTTTAGCTGGGTCCTTTCCCAGTATGCAAAGGTCACAAGTTGTAGCCATGAAAGGAAAAAGATCAGAAAATCCACGTAAGAGAAGATCTAATTCTGTAAGTAGGAAAGAGATGCGAGAAACATCACAGAGGAAAAGAGGCAAAAAGGAAAATGGCATACAAGACGGGGTGCCCGGTTTGCAGAGAAGAGGCGAGAAGCAGACTGACAGCAGCCTCTGGGGGACAACGTTTAATGCAAGTAGATACAGATAATTTTAAAGCACTTTGGGACAATGTGGTGGCAATGAATATTGCTGATGACACTCATCTTACCTATTGTCCACAGCAAGCTCTCCACTGGAAGTTCTTATCCCAACCGAAGTTACCTTCTGTGTATATAAGGATCCAGGTGACTCCTTTGAACTGTCACCGATGTAGGCAGCCCTGCCTCTTTCTGACACTCCACTGGTCGCCCTACTGGCTCTATGAATCCTTCTCTGCTCCTCTTTGCTTACTACCTACAGGACCTATACTTTGAACTCTCTCTACTTTTCCTTCTACACTTAGATCTTTGGATGATTCTTCTCATGTTGGTTTAATCTATAATTTCTGAGTATGTGACTACATTCTTTAACTTCAATTCTCATGCTTTCCTATGTCAGCTACCATAACAATATTAACACCAGCAGGTATTAGCACTTGACAGTATTCAAGAAACTTCCACTGGATCCTCACCAAGAATCAATCCTGTGATGTGGGCAGCAGAGCTAGTCTTCACTCCTATTTCAAAAAAGAAGAAATTGAGGTGGGAAAGTGCAGTGACTGCCCAATGTCACACAATCATAAAGAGGTGAGTTACAGGCCCCTGACCCTGGTGCTGTCCCAGGGTGGGGACACACAAGTGACAAAGTTTAAGGCAAATGTGCTATCATGCTATAACTTAGACCAAAAGGGGAGGGGCTAACAACTCATAGTATGTCTATAGAATTTGTTCAAAACCACAGATTTGGGATTTTAAGAACATATGAGCTTTTGAGGAGTTTTCTAACTCATTTTCAAGTTTTCTAAACACCTTATATATTCAATCTTTTTAAAAAGGCACTGAGATCCTGAATTTGAGATGTACATACAGTTGTAGGGGAAAGAGTTTCTGTTGAATGATGATTTGCAAAAATGTCTTCACCATAGTACTCAGAACTAATTTTATGGGTCGAATATGTGTCTATTTAGTCTTATGACCTTGTACAAAATCTTGCCCTAAATTAAAAGTTACAGCAGTTAATAGTTAATGGTGAAATATTAATACTAAGTTAACATTTACAAGAAAATATTTTTCAGAAAGGAACATGCTTGGAATTCAATGTGAACCAATCAATTACTTGCTGTGTTTATTCTGAAGCTTTTATTTTGGACTCCTACATCGCAAAATGACATGTTTAATGTTTACAACAGGAATTAGAAATTGAGATGTTTTTTTATTTCTACTATTTTAGAGTAAAATTGTAGATAATGTTCCAAACCACCATCAAAAAATGCAGAGCAAACTTTTCTGTATATAAACTGTACATAAAAACAAGGCACTATACATTTTGGGGCGATATTAAGGTAGAATGGTATATTTGCACAGATTCTTCAGAGCCCATGCTGGAAGTACAAATTCTTTGTTCATTTTAGCACCGGAAGCAGCACTCAGAACAAGCCAGACCTAATGCCGAAGGAGACGTCTCTGAAAGTGTGTGAAGAAACGTGTCGGTGGCAGAGCTAACTCTGTAGAAGCAATTCCATCTACTTTTTAATATTATTTTGACACCAAAAAAAAAAAAAAGAAATCTTAAAAGTGAATGAATATATATTGCTTTGTTAAATACATATTTGATTTATATGGTGTTTATATAAATATATATATATTTTAGAATTCACAAACTATCAAAATAACACTTTATAAAGAGAACTGCTTCAAAAAATGTAGGCAACGCTTAGCTGGAACAGGAGGGCAGTGCTGGAGTAGCCGCTGAGGAGCTGCTTGAGTGCACACCAGGCTACTTTATTAACATGACCTGCTGTATCGTGGAAGGAGACTTTCCAAAGAGTTCTCTGAAACATTTACAAAATACACAACTCCAGGACAAGCAGTAGAGCTCATAACTTCAGGTGTTGAAAACTCTGATTAAAAAATATTTTTTAAAATACCAGTCCAAAACCATCTCCATTTTCCTGGTCCAATGGTATTGAAAGTGAGGACAGCGGTTCGCCCAGCATGTCGCCCCTAGAACAGACCTTTAGCCTTCTTCAGGTTCGCCTGCTTCCAGGCGGGCAGTGCGTTGTACTCGTCTCTGGTCATGTCTAGTGCAAACTGGAGGAACGGGGAGAAAAGGTCAGCAGCTGAGTGACAAGACCCTCGCCCCAGCCGAGCATGTTGCTTAGTTGCTATCCCACCTGTAGAAATACTCACCTCAAAGTCTTCATCGGTGAGATAAATCTCAAGCTTTAGAGGGTCAACCCCCTCGGGCAGTGGCCTGGCGAGGAGATCAGCCAGTGGATAAATGGTTTTACAGAGCTTGGCTAAGACATCCTCCACAAGGGTGATCTGATTCGAAACTTCTGTATCCTAGAGAAGAGGGGGGAGCAGAGAGCAGAACTCTGTGTCCCAGGTCTGAACACATTTGATCACGTGCCTGCAAAGACGCAGCGTGTCCAGTCCCCAGCCCAGCCTGGAGCCCCCAACTCGGGGGTGAACAGGGCTCTGACAGGGAAAGGAAATGCCGGCAGATCTCCCAACTTCTAGATGTCTTCTCACCCAATCCACCAAGTTTCAAATAAATCTGGTCTCAGGGCTGCCTCAGACAAAATGTCTAGGGACTATTACACGAGGGAATTATTGCATAAGATTATTAAATTTGAACTCTAAACGCCAGAAGCACCCAAATAATGGAATTTGTTTAAAAATATTTGAAAATAATTAACCTTAAAAGGAATTGCACTTCCCTCCTCCCCCAAGACCCCATTTCTTAATCCACAATAAAAAAAGAAGAAAATGCATCTAGAACATGCTGGGGCTGAATCAAGATTTTTTTTAAACTGCTATGTGCATTTGATTTGAACGGGTTATTTTTATTCCTGGAAAATCATCTTCCTCCATGAACTTGGGATCCCAGATTGGCTGCCTTCCTATTGGGTAGGTGGGTGGGGGAATGAACGGCTGATAGCATTGCCGCATTCAGCAGCATCTGGTACAGACTAGTGGTCCAGAGGCGGGTGCAGAGCGAGCCGGTGCCTGAAGACCTGGGCAAGCTATTTCACGTGTCTGTGCCTCGGCTCCTTCACCAGTAAAATGGGGATGATAAGACGAATCTTAATGGACTGTCGTCAAAATTAAAGGAGAAAATAAATGACAAGTGCTTGGAGCCGTGCCTGGTGCAGGGAGGGCTCTCAGTGAATGCTAATTATTATTACAACTTGCTGGCGTGGGAGGCCCGCCTGTCCACTGGCTGAAAGCCCGAGAGCCTGCACACGACATTCTACAGCCCGCTGACGGCCCCCAGGGATCTCGATGCAGGAAAGTGGCAGTGATTTACGGCCCTGAACCGAGCCGGCAGCGACGACGGCAGCGACGGTGTTTGTAATCCCTAGAGCTCCGAGGTTGGTCGACCACATATTTACAGTGAACATGGCCATCGCACTAGGTCTGCTGGAGAGCAGGCTGCCTTAGTGAGTTCATTTTAACATAATATACATGTTAATCGTATGCCTATGACTGTGCAGAGGCTGCCTTAGCCCCTCCTGTGCAGATCAAGTCCATCCGGCCACAGAGAGAGGTCACCGTCCCAGCGAGGCACGCTCCTCCACACAGGCTCTCTCCGTTGTCAACAGAGCAGCAGCGAACGTTTGTTTGTTTGTTTAAACTGATTCAGACCTCCTATAAAATACACTCACGTCCTCTCCCCCAAAAAAGCAGCCCTCCTGCACAGGAAGAAAATCAAACCAGAACAAACCTCTTTCCCACTAAAACCAAAAACACCCCTGGAATTGCTATTGCTAGCAATGTTAAAAACTCATAAATTAAGAAATTCCGCTTAGCTGTAGTAAGCTTCCTTTTTTCTGTGTGGATGGAAATGATAACATTCTGGTTAATAATATGTTTTGGTAAATAGAGATTATGATAAATGCTTCCTGTGCTAATACCAGGTGGTCTCATAAAAAATAACGTTAATGAGATACTGAGCAGGACATTCTCGGGGCGACTCACAATACATTTGCTCACTGAGTTACTTGAGCAGGTTAACTCGTCACAGGTTTATTCTGTGTCTCCTCTGACACAAGGTGAATGTCTGAAACATGAGGATTTTGTTATGCCTTAGATGGAGCTTGAGAAGCAACAGACTTTTTATATATATTCTTCAGATTAATTAAATTCATCTTTGCTTTTAAGTTTTTTTAATTTGAGCATTATGTGTAGAAAATTACCCCAAGAGTTCAACTGATTTCTCCTTAGGCTTTTCCTCTTCCTAAGCTGATTCTATGAAGACTTGTTAACGTGTTGTAAAAGAAAAAAACATTTTCTCACTTCGAAAATGCAACTGGATGCTTCTCCCCCAGGTAAAGTGAACCCACAATCCATAGGCGGGGGAGCCATCATTTCTGTGGGCGCGTGCTCACCATTTCTGTGATTTCTGCAATGTCCTCTCTGTGCTCCCAGCTGGGAAACATGTTGGTGAAGGTCAGGGGTTCAAGACCAGCGTGGATAAGGTAAGACTTGGGGGGCGGCCTCTTGATATTTTTTCCTGTAGGTACACGGAATGCAAATGTCAGTAGACCCAGGGTGGGCCTGAAGACCCTGTCTTTCTCTGATTTCCCCTGAAATGTTTTCTTCTTTGTTTGGATCTCTTGACTTTATGCTTAAAACAGAAGTTAGGAGCAGTTCATAACAACACATGGATGATGTTTATATAAAATGTTAATTTTATGCCTATGACTAGGCATAAAATTGCATATAATCGACCTGACTCTATACTTCCTGAACCCAACAAAATGCTTCTGGATCCCTGGCGGATGGAAGCCTCTCTCTGCAGCTTCAGAGTGAGACATTTTTTCCTCCCGCACTCATGGTAGACGTGTTCCTCTGACTTCCTAAAGCAGCATTCAGTTCAGTGTGAATTAAATAGCTCATGGAGGCATTTTACAAGCCATGTTAGCTTAAATGTGGTGGAAAATTTAAGTTATTTATTACTAAAGAGCTTTTCAAGAGAAAATCAACTGTACAAACTCAATGATACTAAACTAATCAACAAAACCTTAAAAATTCAGATAAGAATTAATAACTGGCATCCTCATTTTATATAAAATACCACAAATTTCAGGTGGACAATATAGTACAAAACCATAAATTGACTATAGATCTTTCTTTTCAGATATAATACTAAAAATAATAATGAATGATGATAACAAGGTGGCCACTGGCTTTCCAGCCTCTTTGGGGGGCTTCCCACTCTTCGACAGTGTGGGTGTGGACACACGTGTGGGTGAGGCCCGAGTGTCCTGCAGCATGGTTAACCCCGGGTGCAAAAGGATTTTAACCAGTTGGGGGCATTCCACAATGCAGCCTTTAACCTCGAGGGTCACAAGTCAGATGGCCTTGTAATATAAGAGAGAAATGAATTCTCCTCCATGCTGGCAGCCGAGAATGCACTAATCTCAAAATTAATAAGCCTCAGAAAGTTAAAGAAAAAATAAATTAGTTTCATCGCTGTCTGCCAGGCTTTATCAAGGCTGGTGGCACACACAGAAAGGGAAAGACTGGTCTGGGACTCTGACCAAATCTGCAGAAGACCCTCAGGGCACAGCCTCTGGAGGGAAGCTTGTCTGGGGCAGAGGGGCTCCCGGCCCGCCCCGCGGCCGCGCCCGCTCCCTGCCTGCCTGACCTTTGCAGTACTGGAGCACCGTCTCCATGGCGCTCTTGCGGTCGGAGGCCCAGCGAATGCGGGCGGAACCGGTGATCTTGTTCTCGATGGGCCACCAGCCTTGCCAGAGGTACACCTCGTGGTGATTGTCCACGAGGAAAAGTGCTGGGAGAGAGAGGACAGAGCGGACAATCAGGAGCTCCTGCACGGACACTTCTGGGTCACTCTTCCCAAACCCAGCGGATGCCTTCCCTCCCTGCTGCCTTTGTCCATGGGGCCAACCCCCTTGGCGGTTAAATCAGGGGTGAAGGAGCAAATGAAGGGTCTCCACGACCCCTCAGCCCCGTGAATGCTAAATCAGGAAGAGCCTCTAAGCAGAGAGGAGCTACTGATGATGTGGGCATCTTTCCTTCCCTCCCCCCATCTCCCCTCCAATTCCCTCTCCCTATCTCCCCTCCAATTCCCTCTCCCTATCTCCCCTCCAATTCCCTCTCCCTTGGCCCCTCCTCAACCGTCACCTGCCAGCAGCCCCTCTGGGCATGAGCAGGTGCTAGGAGTGGAACGGATCATGCGATCATGCGTGTGCCCCTCAAGGGTCATTAGCCCCGTTTATCTCCAAAGCGCATATTCAAACTGGAGGGTACATCACACCTGCCCTCCAGGTGACTGATGTTCACGACCCATGTATGACTCCCTCGCAGGTGATGTAAGTCCGTGGTTCTTTGAGAGAGAAATGGGCTCTAAAAATCAAGTGTTTCTCGCTTTTTGTCTTCATCAGACCGTCAGCCTGACTCTAATTCCATGTGGCACAGGGCTGTCACACCTGCTAGCTCAGCCCGCCCCGAGGCCCTTTTCACAGTCCTTTTCTGAGGACTGTGAAAACCACATACTTGAAAAGCCCTGTGGAGGGTGATAATCATCCTGAGCCACAGGATGGAGAGGGTGGGGAGCAGCCTCTTTTAAGACACTTGCTAATAGTTCCCACAGTATGACACGTGCACCAGCCAAGCTTTTAAGGAGGTGCCCCGGGCTGCCACCCTAAGGCGAGGTTCCTGGCTGCAGCTCCAGGCTGTGTAATGTGAGGGGGAGAAGCCTTGAGGGCAAGGGCAGCTGACCTCAGACTCGACTGCAGGGAGGGCAAGAGGGTCTACACAGCCTGTTCTCCGGTGACTGTGACTGTCCCAACCAGAACGAGAGCACACAGGTTCTGTCTTGAGGTGGTGGGCTGTTCTAGCGGGACCTTGGGATCAGAAGACACAGGCGAGAGCCTTGGCCCTGCTGTGCAGCCTTGGTATGGCAGACACCCTGCAAATACTCCCAACCCCCTGCTCCTCGACCACTTGCTTTCCCAGGCTCCCTTGCAGTTGGGGGTGGCCACGTGACAGAGCTCTGGCCAGTGGGATGTAAGCAGAAGTCTGCTGGGGGCTTCTGGGAAAGCTTTTGCTTTATCTGATATAGGGAGAGACATGGCCATCACTGCCCTTTTCCTACCCCTTTCTTTCTGTCTTGAATGAAAACATGACGGCTGGAGCAGGGGCAGCCAACTGGGGACCATGAAGCAATGAGACTGAGGGAAGGCTGGGAGAACAGCAGAGATGCCAGGCCTGACACTGTTGTGTTCAACCTATTCTTAACTGATATATTTGGTGAGTTAAGTAACTGAGCCTCAGTTTCTTATACTGTAACAAGTGGTTGATGTCACCTTCCTTTTGGGGTAGGTATGAGGATTAATGAGATAATATAAGAAAGTGTTCTGGGCAAATAAAAAACTGCTTAATAAATATGAAAGTAAAATAAAAAGGCTTTTTGGAAGGTGTATCTTCTGCTGCTTGGCACGACTACCCGCTTCTGTGGGCTGTACCTGGCTGCGGTGCACTATACAGATCCTCCTGCAGGAAGGGCATAGAATTGACCACAGAGGGGTCTCGGGCAGGATACATGAATTCTGTGGCTAAGAAATCGCCAGAGGAACTGCTGAGGATGAACAGGCGGGGTGTGAAGTTAAAATTTCCAGGATCTTTGAAAGAAAAGAGAACAAAGCTAAAGACAAAATATGAACTGAAGTAAATTCCAGATGGACTGAAGAATTAATGTAAAATCTGAAATAATCAAAGAATTAGTATAAAAATAGGCAGAGTTTGGGGGCCGACCCCGTGGCTTAGCAGTTAAGTGCGTGCGCTCTGCTACTGGCGGCCCGGGTTCAGATCCCAGGTGTGCACTGACGCACCGCTTGCCCGGCCATGCTGAGGCGGTGTCCCACATACAGCGCCTAGAAGGATGTGCAACTACGACATACAATTATCTACTAGGGCTTTGGGGAGAAAAAGGGGAAAAAAAGGAGGAGAACTGGCAACAGATGTTAGCTCAGGGCCAGTCTTCCTCAGCAAAAAGAGGAGGATTGGCATGGATGTTAGCTCAGGGCTGATCTTCCTCACACACACACACAAAAAGGTAGAGTTTGTCTGAGCCCATTGGAGGTGGGGAGGCCTTTTTAATTATAATTGTAAAAGAAATCATCAAAGGGAAGAGATTCATGCATAGACAGCATAAAAATGAAAAATTACATTGCAAAAAACAAACAAAATGAAGAGGTGAGTGACAAAATGGAAAATATGGAAACTTGTTAATATCCTTAGTATATAAAGGAATATAATAATGAAAAGATAAATATCTCAATAAAAATGGGCAAAAGGCAAAAACATTCACCAAAGCAGAAATACAAACGGCTAAGAAATACATACAGAGAGTGTTTACCAGTACTTCTAATTTAAAACATTAAATGAAAACAGTGCTTAGGTAGTAGTTTTCCCCCATCAAATCAAGTCTATGACTGTGCTGAGAAATGCATACTTTTGTACATCGCTGGTGAGAATAAAACTTGGAGCAGATGTTGTGTTGACACACTCATTGACACGTACTCTAAGACTTTCATAACTTTTACACAGCAGTTCCATATCTAGGAATTCACTCTAACTAGGAATAAATGCAGATAATTCTTATAAAAATTATTCACAACTGCATTATTATATAATAGAGAAAAGTTGGAAATAACTCAACTCTCCACTATAAGGAGACAAGTAGAGAATGGCATATTATAGAATATTCATAGAATACCTTGCAGCCATTAATAGTCTAAATATTAACAACTTGGGAAATTGTTCACAACAAAGGGAAAAAGTTAGTTACAAAATGGTATGTATAATGCTATCCAAATTTTATTTTTTAGAAAAGCTATGTATATATAACAGATAGAAATGTTCATTTTGGTCATCTTTGAGAGATGTGATTATAAGACTTTCTTTTTTAACTTCTCTGTACTTTCCAACATTCTCCATCATCAATACGAATTATTTTTGAAAAGCTATATAAAAGTTTATAAAAATTGAGAGGCAATATAAAGGAGGGGTTATGTGTACACTCCATTGTTGTACAACCTTGGATAAGCTGGTTAACTGCTCTGTGCCTCAGTTTCCCTGTCTGTAAAAATAGTAGAGTGTTGGGTTGTGAGAATTAAATGAGTTACTGTGTATCGGGTGCTTGGACATTGCCGGAATCATCCGAACTGGTTAATAACTGTTAGCTTTCTTCTACGTTACTCTGTATTTAAGTGGATCTGTAGTTTGTGTAATAAACATGAAACTGACCTACTCTCTAATTTAAACTCCACCACTTCCCTGCACCCTGGAGCCTGGCCAAACTGAGAGCATCTTCTTCCATAGGTTCACACCGTGCCACTGCTCATCTGGTCTTCTGGAACTTTCTTCTCTTCCCTTCTCTTCAAGTCATACCTACCTCCAAGGCTCCTCGTAACTGCCGCGTCTTTTGTGGAGCTGTCTGTGAATTTTCCTGGCAGAAGTAATCTTTTTTCCTTTTTAACTCTCAGGGCCTCCTCCTGTACCTCTTTTATAACACATAAACTTTTTACTTGGCATTATAAGTAGTCACACATAATATTTAGCCTTATTGGGCTGGAGGCCCGTGAGGACCTAGCCTAGGTTAACTCACTGTGTGTTGTACACAGTACGTGCCAATAAACATGTACTGAATTAATTAGCAATCGAAGGCCGCGGAATGTTGCGTTACCTTGAAGCATGCAGTCGTAGGCTTTCCTATCTCTCCTTCCTAACGCGTCCCAGAATCCCAGGGGCTCGGATCCTTCGTCACACTCGTGTATGGTCACTTTGCTGCTACTATGCAGGCCTGCTTCCAGGGGACATCTGCACGGAGAAAGTCCAGTGGTTTTTACAAGCCCGGGAAGTGCTGGCAGCACAAAATCATTCAAGACTAACTCTACAGATGGGTTCACCATCTCTCTTCTACTTTCTAACTAACACAGGTCTTACTAGTGAAGGTAAACAAGCTCGGTAGTTCATGAATGTGTTTGGGCGGAGGCCCATAGAGAGGAATGTACGATTACATGTGTCATGAAAGTGACATACATTTTTATATATAACATACATATTTTCTATTCCTTGTCCTCTCCATTGAAATATAAGCTTCATGGGGACACAGACTTGGGATTGCTCACTAGCAAGTCTCTACTTCGTATATCTGTATCTGTGCTTGGTACCAAGTAGGTGCTCAATAAATATTGGAATGAATGAATGTGGGAATGAGTGCTTTGTTTTGTTTTTTCTCAGTGGTCCCAGTGAGAAATCTGATGGGCCATGAATGCCTCTGGACACCTCACTGGGCGTCATTTATCATCCTGCCCACTCCCTAGCCCTCAGAACGATGTTTTGAGAGGGAACAGTTTGCTTCACAGCTGTCTACCAGGTGGAAGGTCACTCGCCTTCTCCTCTCCACCCTCTCTGTGTAGCGCTAGGGTACAGAGCAGTCACTAGGGAAGCACGCCCACACTGCACTGTTTTGGTGCCCAGAAAACGGGTTTTACCAAGTTGCACTTGGGTGGTATGCTGTGGCCCTGGGAAACTCCTCATTTTTAGTGTACAGATGTCAGTGAGGTCCTCCCAGGTCTCAGCCTGAGGAGTCTAGGCACCTCCTGAGTGACTGGGTGACCCTGGGATTTCTTTGGCTGCTTGCAATCCCATTTTGCACAGGCTGCTAGGAAGTGCAGAGCCACAGCTGCAGCCTCCTCCATACAGGTGACGGGCAACTACAGCCCTCCTCCTTGGATGCCTTCTCTTTCTCCTTGCTTCAGTCTTACTTCTTCCCCCGAGGTCCTCACTTAATGCTCTGTCCTAGTGGGCTTTCTCTGTGTAAGCGGTCAACCGTGGGTGCCTGCCTGGGAGAGGAACAAGACCCAACACCTGGTGTGCTGCGCCTGAGAACTGCCTGCGGAGGCCAATAACTCGCGGTGAGGCGGCTGCCCTTCAGAATGTGGAAACACAGTTGTTCTCTCAAAAGTCTTACAGTTTGATACAGTTGGTGGATTCCCAAACTCTTCATTAGCTAAAGTCTTAACATCCCACTGCTCAGACAAAACTAAAACTCTGAATCCCTAACATATCTAGAAATGTGCTCTCTTTAAATAACAAAGGACTCCAGGCTTGTAATTCCAAAGCTGACTCGCACCTGAGAAGAAATTAACGTAGTTGTCTGGGTCCTTTCCCTGGCTCCTACTCTGTCTTTTATGGAGGTAGGTGAATCTTCAGAAATGGGGGAAGCCCTCAAAGTGGAGGTTTTGGCTGAGCTGTGTGTCACATCCACCGGGAACGTCAAGAGCGCCTGACAACTTCATAACTACCCCTTGTTGAAGTCACTTTAAGCACATCAGGGCGTCCCCTGGGACCCTGGGGTGGCCTTTCTGTCTTAGCCTGCGGGTGCCCCAGGGAAGCCCCTTCCAGGAGAGGTCCTCACACACATACAACACTCACTGTTCTTTGATTTTATTTGCTGCTGTCCTTCCAACCTCCTTCGTGTGGGCTTGGGCTTTGCATCCGTGCCACAGGTAAATGAGGGCTTTATTTACGTTGAGGACGACCATGGAAGTCCTGGACCTCAAGCTACTACAGTGACAGGCCACTTCCAGCAAATTTCCTTCGACGGGCACTTCTCCTCGCACACAGTACAGCCTCCACTCACCTGCAGGGGGCGTCAGCGGCACAGAGTCAGGGGGTGCTGCCCTTCTGGGTCCCCCCAAGGCCGTCAACAGCAAACACCTTCCTGGACTTAAGGGAAGGGCGAGCCTGAGGCCAGGCCATGGCTGAAGTCAGCGGCTGTCTGTCTTACTGCCGGCCCAGAAGGCAAACTCTTTTCGAGTTAGAAGCAGGTTGCAAAAAGTTCATGATGCAGAAAAACCATTTTTATAACACTTATAAATACCTAAGTAAGTCATATAACAGGCATATTTTAAAACAATGTAAAGCTAAGATTTTTTTTTTTGGACGTTGGCCAACAAAAATCTCATAATTTATAATAAAAGATCTACTAATGTTTTTCCCCTCCTTAAAACAGACAGAGTCACTGTGAGGACTCAGTTTAAGGTGAAGTAATCTTCCAGTCTCCCGCAGGCGAAGTTGGATGCTGAAGTCAAGTCTGCCACAGGGGGAGTTATGAGCCCCCATAAAGCTGATTTATAGGGCGGAGATGAGGAGGCTCTCGGTGGTAAAGCCACAGCGATATGAAGAGAGACGGACTGTAAACCCCCACGCCTATAAAAATACTTTCCAGGAGAGGAAAACGAAAACCTAATCCCAGCAGTGAAAGGACTTACTTTGCACATTTTCTTCCTCCTCTTCCCGTCTCCCAGAATGCACCACCATTCCCCCCTGGAAACACTGCAGAAAACAGGGGGGCTCCTTCCCCTGGAGGACCTGGACCTTCCAATTTAAACACATTAAAATAAGTAATATGCACTGGTTTTTCAAAGTCATAAAAATAATACATGCCTATTGTGGGACATCTGAAAAATACCAAGAAGTACAAACAATAGCCAGTGATAGTATTATCTACAGAGAGCCACTAATAAAAGTCTAGTGTAGAGCTTTCCTTTCAAAGTATTTTTCAGGTATATATTTTTCCCAAACAAAAATAGGATTGTTGTTTTACGTTGCTTTATACCCTGATTTTCTTCACTTAATATTTTTGTCATTAAATACTCTTTTAAACACGAATTTTGGTATTTTAATGGTATTCCATGGTATAGATGTAACATGATTGATTTAAACACGTTAAAGTATACCTCTCAGCATTGAGAATGACCAATCATTCACTTAGTAATTCTGGGGTAAGAACTGCCTCTTTTGCAACCATTTCAGTAGAGTCACGTGCCGACCACCCTCAGCGCCCCCTGGCCTGTTAACACGCTCTTCCTTGTCATCATAAAGTTAGGGTGGGGTCAACTCACTCTCCCTTTGGCAAGACATTTTCCCTTAAGGAGGAAACTGTGAGCCTGCGGTCAGGGAGCTGTGAAAGGTAGGAAGCATTTCCCATCATGAGTTAATTTATCAATCTCACAGCCCATTTTGTATAATTAAGCGCCATTTTGTGGAAGTGTTTTAAATGTCTAAAGTGATTTTCCATCAGTTGGACTGATAAAAAATGAAATGCTCAAACTAGAGAGATTAAGACTCAAAAACTCAGAGGATGATTTTGAAGGCATGATTAAAATATTCATTCACGGTCTTTACCAAAAAAAAAAAGGCAGTTGAAATTACCCCCTATTAGGAATAAATGAAAATACAAGGGTCAGTAACAACTATTTGTAAAATACAGCCCCTAGTAGAAAATATGCATGAAATATTTTTTAGGGAAGAGGATTGGTCTTTAGAAATCTGGAAGGCTGTGAGTGTTGATCCATTTCTGAAGAAAATTCCTCTGCTCTCTTCACTCATGCTATTGTGAACTATTCATCCAAGACAGTAAAAATATTTGCACATGGTGTCATGTTTTCCAAAAACCCCAGAGTCAACTCTTTATCACTGGTGCTAAAGGATGGGACCTGAGGCACAGATAATCCAAACGCTAAAAAAAAATGTTTACACAACCTTGGATTGGGGTAGTAGTACCTGCCAGGCATTATGCAGGCCCTGAGGTTATAATGATAGATAAGATCAGGACAGACATGGTCCCTTTCATGCGTGTGAGAGAAGACAGATAATAAGTAAACAAAATGTATACGAAATGTAAACAAAATGACAAAAGGCATTGTAGTTCTAAGTAGTGGTAAATGCTATGAAAAAAATAATGCATAGGCAAGGGACAGAGAATGGGGAGGGATTTGGAGAATATAGGGAGGCGACCTTGAAGAGAAATCTGAATCATATGAGGCTGAGAGTTACATGCGGATCCAAGGGAAGTGTTCCAGACAGGGGAAATTGCACAAAGGCCCTGCGGTGGGTGGAAACAGGTATGTTTGAGGAATAGCAGGAAAACTGGAGCAGCCTGGGCAGGGGGCAAGATGCGGGGCTGATCACGAAGGTGCTGGCAGACCACAAGGAGACCACTTAGATTGCAGTCCAAGTGTGATGGAGAGCCAGGGAGTGACACGATCTGACGTGTTCTAGAAAAATCACTGGGGCTGCTGTGAGGAATGTAGAAGATGGGAATACTGACTTTTACATTACTCTCTGATATTTCTTTAGGATAGATTTGTGTAAGTGGAATAACTGATCAAAGCTTATGAGCTTTTTAAGGTTCTTGAGCCAAAACTGCTTTTCAGGATGGCTGTGTAAGTCACACGTCCCGAGGGAAACATGCGTGCTACCCATCCTCCTGAATCCTCGCCAGCCCCGCATCCACGCTTTAAAAAACCTCTACCAATTTTAGAAGAGGAAAACAGCATCTCTTTGTTTTATTTACAATTCCTTGCTTATTAGTTAAGTGGAAACTTTAAAAAAACACTCATTGGCTCTTTGTCCTTGTTTTGTGGATCTCCCATTTGCAGACATTTTGTTTAAGATCATGTTACAACAGGTGGCCTTCCTGGCTGAGTGGTGGGGAGCTGAAAGGGGAGGCACAGCCTGAAACCTGGAGAAGCCAGACGGGGACTAAAAGTGCTTTGGGTGACTTGTCTTGGTTTATTAGAACTGGGTCTCCAGGGGACCAGGCCACACACCCTACGGCTCCCCGGAAAGGACATTTCTCTCATTTCTGGTGCAGCAGCTGTCTAGGACTTACCTGGGCACCCCTTTCCTCGTCCAGCTCCACCGTCATCAGAGCCGACGTGCCCTTCTCACTCACAGTCGACTGCCGGCCTTGCCAGAAGAAGTAGACACACTTCTCCTTGCCAGCCACCCTGATCGGATGCTCTCCCTTTTGCCGACTTCCCACTGCAAACACACGACAGCAGAGGGCTTAGGAGGAGGCGGCTGAGAAACCAAAACAAGAGCAGATACACGGCTCCCTTCTCCAGGCTCTCTGAGGACAAACTGTGAAGAAATAGCTTTTGGGCACGGGGCTGAGGAGAAATCATTCACTACTGGAGGGAACGTAAATCATATCACAGGAGAAGCGAAAAACCACCTTTCTTCCAGTTAACTGATCCTGAGCCTCCGAAATGGAGAAAAATGATCTGAAGGGCCCTCTGGATACCCTGAGAAAAACACCTGTCACCTCAGAGGAAGGTGGCAGATCACTCCAAGTGTGTGACATTGAAAGATGGGACCACCAGTGCAGGACCAGCGGCTCCCTAAGACACAAACGCGTTTTCCATATGACCCCACTCTTTGGCAAAAGATTAGCTGGTAGAGAAAAGATATTGAAAACAACAGCTGGGCCAGGTTTAAGCATAAAGGGAGAAATTTAGTCTGTTAAAACTATTCTAGTGAAAAAACACTTTGAACTTTCCAAGTTCTGTCAGAAATGGAAGAGAAATTGCTGCCATGTCACTTTCATAAAATAATCTGGGATTTAAATAGTATCTGTCGCCAGGGCTGTACTCAGGATTAAATGCTGATTATCCGTACTGTCCAGCACCTTGCAGGCACTGGATAAACATCAGTAGCACACAGAACATGGCTGTCACTAAAGAGCAGTCACAGAAGGTTAACTGGTCAAGTGGGTCATTTCAGACAGTATTTCAGACCTCAAAATTGCTTCCTTTAGGAATATATCTCACTCTAGACTTCTCTCATCCATTCGTTCAACAAATATTTATTGAGCACCCACAATGGCCAGGGACTCTTCAGGATACTGGGACTACAATGATGAGCAAGACAGACAACTTCCCTGCTTTCGTTCTAACAAATAAATATAGTCACGTGCTGCATAACAAAGTTTCTGTCGATGACGCATTGCGTATACGACAGTGGTCCCATGAGATTAGTACTATAGAGCCTAGGTGTGTAGTAGGCTATAACGTCTAGGTTTGTGTAAGCACACTCTATGATGTTCACACAACGATGAAGTTGCCTAACGACGCATTTCTCAAAACGTATCCCCATCGTTAAGTGACACGTGACTGCAGATGAGCAAGATACTGTCAGAGAGTGATGAATGCTATGAGGGAAACAGACAGGGGGATGCAACATGTGGCAGGGCGAGTGTTGATGGGATTGCCTTCCCGCAAGTTGGCTGAGCAGGGACCTGAATGACCTGGACACAGTCTCTTCTGGGCTGAGTGAGCGTCAGGAAGCCAAGTTATTGATTCAAATGCCCCGGTGGTCCCAATGGATCCACAACGGGTGGATACAGGTCTGTAACACCCATGCACCTTAAAAACCAATGATAATAACTGGATTCAATGTTTCTCAGCTCCAATCCCATTTACAAAATCACGCTTGTCTTGAGGTTTGAAGGTAAGAAGAAAGTTCATTTGTTTCAAGTTCTTAAGAGGTCAGGGGCCATATTTACTTGACTTCTTTGGCCCTTTAACAAAGTACCCTAGGGCTGGCCCTGTGGCTTAGCGGTTAAGTGCACGCGCTCCGCTGCTGGCGGCCCGGGTTCGGATCCCGGGCGCGCACCGACGCACCGCTTCTCCGGTCATGCTGAGGCCACGTCCCACGTACAGCAACTAGAAGGATGTGCAGCTATGACATACAACTATCTACTGGGACTTTGGGGGGAAAAATAAAACAACGAAGTACTCTATGACAGTTTCATAAATGATTATAATAATTCTTAAAATATTTTGACTAAGCACAGCCTTGAGTGCCATCTACTGTGGACCTGAACTGGTCAAGTTTGTGTATTTTTAAGTGGGCAAAGTGAAGAGGAACCATCAGTGACTAGATTATAAATATCCACAATTAATTTGGAAGCCACTCAATTGAGATTTCTACTAATTTAGATAGGAACAAAAGTTTGCCTTTGATTAGCCATCCCCTTCTTCAAAGTAGTGAAAATTAGTCATGTCAACTAGATTATTGGGAAAAGACATACTTAAAATAGATCACAGCAGTTGATACATATCTTGGGATTTGTTAGCACTTAAATACACTGTATAAATATATATCCACACTTAAATAACCAATGTTTACCTCCTAACATTCTAAAATGGACTTGAGTGTATATACCTATAATAGAATTGTATTTCCTTAAAAATATTTCATAAAACAGACTTTTCAAGTGATTTTCCTTGCAATTTTCTTCAACATACCCAAATTTAATCCTATATACAACTTAATTTTAATTCATTTATTTATTTTTAATTTTAGCAAAGATTAAACTTTCATTAGTAAGAACTTCTGGATGTAATCTTTATAGCCTTGATCTAATTTAAAGTGTTGATGCATCATGAAATCAAAATACCTCCCAGAGTAACCAGTTACCAGTGGTGTGTTTAGGAGTAACAGGACTGAGGTTGAGGAACTGCTCGTGGGCAAGTGGTCTTGCAGCAGACCCCCATTTCCTGAGCCCTACTATAGCAACTCGACCTGTAGCATGCTCCGGAGTGACCTGACCCAGCGTCACTGGGTACCTCGAGCAGCTTGTTTCCTGACCCTGTAGGGGCACAAGCCATGCCCTGCCACACCTGAGGTGGTCACTAGGGTGGGACACCACTGAGGCCTCTAGTCTCCCTTCTCTGGAGGCCATGGTTCACATCCCAAGGAGCCAGCTTCCCTGTGTGCCTGTGCAGGCTGGCCAGCGTCCACCAAGAGGATGGCTGCACTGTCTCTACAGCTGCTGATTTCTGCCCTCTCTGTCCCAGAAGAGCATCCCAAGCTCTGAGTTCAGGCTGTCTGCAGGGTATGAGTGCTGAGGAGCTGGCCTAGCAGTCACCAAGGGGCCAGTCTTCCACGATGACCACGGAGCAATTACAAATGCCATCCGGTTATGCTTTTCTGCTCCCAGAGGGACAGTCTGGAATCTGAGTGCTCCCTGCTCTAATTTAATTCTCCACAGCTGGACTTGTTCATATTGTAACTTTGCTCATAAAGATGCTGCTGGATCTGGCTGTGAAACTGCGTTTATTGGGAAAAAATATAGAAAGTATTTGCCTGGGGCAAATCATTATTTCTTAGGGACCTCCAAGTAAATAGTCTATGAAGTCTCCAATCTTATATTTATTTTTTAAATCAATTCATTTTAATATCATTTTATTCATTTATTCACTTACTATTACTTCTCTTTTATAACTAACAGCTAAGGTAAGGAAACGATGAAATTTCAAACTGTAGTGTCCTCGTCCTGTTTTATGAAACATGCAGCTTCCTTTCTGTATTTTAAGAATGGGAACTACGTATGCCTTCAAAGGTTGTTCCTTAAAGTTCCCACAACTCCAAAGGTGAGTAGATTTTTTTCCCCACTAAATTCCCCGTTATTGTCTTTACTGCCAACCAGCAACACAGATGATTGTTTCAGCTTCCTGACTCTGCATCAGATCCTGGAGTTTAGACCTACAGTAGTGACTCTGGGAATTGCTATTATTTTGGGTAGATCCACGTTACCCTCATCTTCAAGTTAAATACAGTAATTACGCTGTTGCTGCTGAGAACGGCAGGGATGATTATTTCCTATGCTAAGACGCGAACACGTGCCAGGCCGTGCTAAACACCACACACACCAGATTATAATATTCTGTGAGCTGGGTACTATAATCTCTATTTTCCAGGTGAGAAAACTGAGCCTCAGACAGGTAAGTAACGTTACCCGACTTGCATCACTGGCATGTAGGGTTTGAGAGAAGATTCAGACCCTGGCTCTATGGCCCCAGGGCCTGTGGCCTTTCCTCCAGGGGACGTGGCCTCCTTAGAAAGGGAAAGGGGTGTTTAAGGGTCCAGCTCTGCTCTCTGCTAGCTGTGTGACTCAAGTGGGTTACTTAATCTTGGTGTCCTGTTCCTTGTCTGAGAAATTAGCATAAGGACAGGACACGTCCCATGGGCCTCCGTGAGGCACTCAACCAGAGCACGCAGGGGAGCCCCCAGTGTGTGCCTTGGGGCAGGGTGGACCTCTAGGCCCGAAGCTGGCTCCACGCACAGGGCAACCCGGCGCAGCCCTCCCGCCCTTGCCAGCAATGCCTGCCCACTGGCTGCCCAGGTCTTGGTTTGTTGGGCTTTTCCCACCAGGGGCAGATGCAACCTCAGGGAATGGAGCTCTCCTCCTCCAGCACAGAGTAATTCCCTCCCCCTGGACTTGCCTTATTGTTATTTATGCCATATGCTTCCTGAAGGCACCGTCTGAAATATTTACTCAACCCTTTTAGAAAAACATGTCTTATGCATAGGGCAGGAGCTCAATAAATGCGGTCAGTTGACTAACAGACTTATTTTTGATAAATTAGGATAGAAATCAAATGGTTCCAAGCCTGCAGGTGTTTGAATCAGCAAACCTGGGGTAGCCACACCTGGATGGCCAGGGGGCTGTGCACAGGTGAATCACTTCTCTTGGGAGTTGAACGTTGAAATCACCGAGTTGTCACACAAACTCTCCCCAGTGGGCAGGGATGAGGGGCACTGTGGATCATCTGGATAACAGCTACTTCTGGGCGAGGAAAAGGGATTCTCTCTCCAGAGGTCACTCACTCTCCCTCACTGCTCTAGTGCTAAGCATACAATTGAGTGTTTTGCTACAAACAGTATTTCACTGACAGAAACTATGAGGAGTTGTGACTGTATTTATTCTCCCAGATCCATAAAGCACTGTTAGTGCTCTCAGCCTCGGAGGAAAAAGCTTTGTTCATTTTTCATAAATCTTTTGTGCATGTATTTACCACACCATTTGGTTTCTCTTCTGAATCATCCAGAAATGCTTTACTTAGCGACTTTAATTGAAGCAGCATACAGCCATGTGGTAAATACCATTTGGAGGCAAATCATCACTTTCCTAGAAAGCCTCTGGGGACAGGGCAGGGGAGGGAGTGAGGGCAGTAGAGAAGCCTTAACATGCGAGTTTAATTTCTATACGGAAACATACAGATGTTAGCAAGGCCAGGCTGTTAGGAACCTTCATCTGTAAGGTTTATTAAGTGGTTCTCAGAGCGAATGACTAGACTGGCCCTGCACCTATGCGGCCGAGGGGCAGGCGTAGGGCACAGGGCATCCTGCTCTGGCAGCGCCGCAATGCCCAGATGGAGCTGGGGCTGGGCGCGTCTCAGTTGGAAGAAAGGGGAAGCGCTCACTAACCTGCGGTGCTCACCATGTACTTCCACTTGACCACATAGGCATCGCCCTCATGGAACTGCCCAATGCTCTGCTTGGGGAGCCTGCTGTAGTCGAACTCGAGGATATGCCAGACATCCACAGAGACACTGGCAATCTCAAACTGCCGCCGGTCGTCCCCTTCCACCAGGCCGTAGCCGCGGCCCACGTTCACCCCGTCCAGCACGGTGCCGGCGGTCGTCTGGGGCACTGGCACCATCCGGGTCACGTCGTATGGCTTCACGTCTGCCCTGGGATCTTCCTGCGAGGGAATAGAAACATGTTTCTTCCGTTGCCTCTGTGTCTATAGCGTTTCTTGTCACGCTCAATGCTGTTCCACTGTTAAGGGGACAGCCTAAAAGTACAGCTTCCACGCTTTGTCTCAGGGCATCTAACTGCATTTAGGAAAAAGCTGCATTTAGGCGAAAAGGCGAAAGGTTCGGGAGGCCTGAATACCATCCCACAACAGTGAACGGGATGTTGAAAACCTGGAGGCACGCACAGAGCTATCTTCACCTCCTGGAGGGAGAATATGATTGGAAACCGGTTTGCTGTTCTGCTAGTAAACCCTGGGGAGGCTTTTAGCTTCAAGGCCACTTTTGTTGGGACCCCAACCAAGCCCTGAGGTTTGAGGCCTAATTATCCGGAATACCTTCTGCTGGGCAAGTTCGCCGGCGTTCTTCTCATTAGGTCTCTTCAGTTCGGTCCAATCGAGAAACTTTTCTTTGAACAAAATCGTCTCATTGTGTTCTGTAAGTCTCCCAAATATTGCCCAATCAGGCCGCCCCTGTCCTTTTCTGTGGGGGGTCGGGGGGGCAGGGCATAAACAGGAAAAGAACCAAGATTAAGCCATGCTAAAACCAAGGAAAGGAACATGTGGCTATTGAAAAGAACTCAGAATACATAAGTGGAATCTAGAATGAATGGTTTATTTTCACTTATTATACCAAATAGGTGACATTTTACTATTTTAGCCAGAAAACTTGCAAGGCTTTGTGTCCAAGGAGTCGACGTGCCTGAATGCGATGTGAACCACGTCAGGAACGGACTTCTCTTGCTTTCTAGCAAATTCTTGTACTTGGGATCCCCTGGGGGTGGTGCACTAGAGTGGAGCTCAGCAAAGGCAGGAGCCACATGCACTCCTTCCCCGCCCATATAGCCGCCCACAGGCACCTGCAGGTGCCCACCAAGCTTCTGTCAAGTTAATGAATATGTGGGAGGAAGACGGAGCTCACCCCGAATTCCCTACATTTTAAGACATGTTACAGTGAAGCTCTAGGAACAGGGGAGATTCTCCTGTTACTAAAATGAACCTACTTTCATATATCATAAAGTGAATTTCTGCATATTTATTTCTAGGCCACTGGACAGGACAGCAGGCAGGGACAGCCCAATGACCCAGAAAGAGGAGCAGCACAGCCCAACCTGGAAGTCTAGACCTGCCTCAGGATCTCAGAATTGGAAACTGTGCTGGGAAAACAGATAACTTAAGCAGGTAAACCTGAGAAAACACATGCTATAGAGGGTTCAGCCCTGAGGATAACGTGCAGGTGTTTCTCATCCTTCCAAAGCAAGCTTTGAGTGTGAATTGGGACCGGGATGCACGTATCCCATCAGACTCCTGCTTCATCACTTCCTGGTTGGTCAAGACCACACTTTCTGACATCACAGCTAAGGCACATCAAAGAGGCTGCCTGTGTCAAAGGAGCTTGAAAGGAGAAAGCACAGGATACAAACACTTCCTTCCACCTCTACTCTCGAGGGACTTAAGGAACCAAATATCAGCAACTATGGGAAACTCAGGATGACCATGAAAGGCTGGGGTCTTTATCAGAAAATATCTGAATGACTGTCTTTCGTATAAATTCTACTCTGCAGACTTGCTAAGACGCCTAGAGAAGGAGCACTTGGTTTCAGCTGTAGAAATGTCTCTTTTACGTTGTGAAGTTGAGCAAGTGTGAGGGGCTGAAACCGGGAGCAGGAATGGGCATGCTTCTCCCCTCCATGCTGACTTCCATGTGTGAACTGGGCCCAACCTTGACACCTCAGTGGTTCAGCCTCCTCATCTGTTAAGAAGGGCTGGGTGCCTAATCTTGGCTGCACCTGAAAATCCCTAGGGAGCTTTTAAGCCCATGGACACATAAGCCCCACCCCATATGAACTGAAAACACATCTCTGGGCCTGGGCCTGGCACATGCATGTTTTTAAAGCTTCTCAGGTGATTCTGATCTGGGAGACGTTGAAAACCAGTGGGTTAGGTGCTTACTCATCCACTTTCAGATCCGTGATTATGTCACTACTAAATATACATTGTCTATCACACAGATTTTATGCTTCAGTATTTTTTCTTTTACTATACCAAGTAAAATATTCTTTTTAGTCTTAGCTTCAGTCCTTAAAAGACTAGTTGTTATAGTACTAATTTTATGCTAAATATGCATTTGTTTAAAAAGGATTTGCAAACTTTTCACCTACACTGACAATTTTTAATTGTTTCTATGATATTAATTAATAATTAAATTGATAATTCAATACTAAAACAGTAAACTAGGTAAGAAAGTTAAAATCTGTATACTTGTTCAATGGAAATATTAACATGCAGTTGCATGATACCCAATGTTCTATGCTATTTGGTGGCACATCAACTTCTAACCTATTACATGGCACACGTAATTTAAAAGCACTTTTTTTTCTGGTAGTTCAGACAACAAGAATCCTTTGCAAGTTAGAATTCTTTTTTCTCATGATCATATTTGTTAGAGTTTGTGCATATTCTGATTTGCCAAAATTACTTTAAAAAGTCCAGTACACTGTAGGAAATATTAAAATTACAATCATTTCAATACCATATCCTCCCCATACCCCGCCCCCTAACTCACCCCAAAAGGCATAAACATCATGTAGTGCCAAATAAATGGTAAAACCTGGAACTCAAGGGCTCTGCTGGGAAGGTGTGAAATTAGAAGGAAATGGGTTGCTTTTGCACCTTCAGACCAATGGCTGAATTCCAGAGCCTGGGAAGCTTTTCAGATCAGCATGTAATTTGTTTAAACAGTTGCTGCCGCAACAGCACCTGGAATGCTGCAGGTGGGAACAATTTGTTCAATTTAAGGAATGAAATATAACACAAACTTCTTCCAGAAGGCTACAACATCCATGTTGCTGTACTGGGTAAAAGCTAAAGAAACGTTCTTTTTGTGAATATTCATGGTACTGCATGTAATCATTTACGAAAACAAAAACCTGTGAAGAGTGATAGATGACTGTGGTGAGAATCTGCAGAGGGAGCTGCTGGCTCTGCAACGCCATCAGCAGGCCACAGGAGTACCTGGGAATAAGCGGGTTGCATTCTCCAGGATCCAGCGGGTTGATGTCACAATTCTCGTAGTCAAAGGTTCCATTCCATAAGTGCTTTGCCAGCTGGAATGCTATTTTCCGTTGTGCTAATGTGACTTCTTTTCCATGCCACACGTACACTTCACTCCCAAAATCAAACACGAGTACCTGGAAAATGGCGCAGAAGAAGTGGTTAATTTCAAGGACATGCTCCATTTGAATCAGGATCTCTACTGATAGTGAGTCAAACAGGTGATGATACAAATCCTAACGGAGCAGTCTGTCCAGACACAAAAGGGTCACAGGATCTGACCAGCTGGCACTGCCAAGCCAGCTTCTGCCCCGGGGTGTGACTTCCGTCTCATTGTCCTAAACACCCAAATTAATGTTCCCTCCTCTGAACTCTCAAACCATCTAAAACTTCTGATTCATAAGAGTTATTTAAGTACTTGCTATCTTCCTTCCTTCCTTCCTTCCTTCTTCCTGCCCTCCCTCCTTTGTTCATTCATTCACATAGCACATACAGGCCACTCACACATGCCAGGCACTGAGGACCCAGTGATGCCTTCTCTCCTTCTACAATTCCAAGGCCCTCAAGGGCAGAGGCCATACCATACTTACATCTACAGTAGGGTTCACTAAGTGTTTGCTGAATGAATACATGAATGTCATGCTATTATTTCCACGCCTGTGGTTTGTTCTACTCTTCCTTCCTAGAATAATTTCTTCCTTCATTTCCAGTAATACAAATTCCACTTAACTCCAAGCTTGGCTCATTTCACCTTCTCTTTAAAATAATTCCTGATTATTTCTTTTTGTGACACTTTTTCCCCATTTAAATGCCCATACATATCCTATAATCAATCTACCTTTAGATTACATTTTTCTAATACTCTTCTCCCCAATGAAATTTAAGGTGCTTTTGTGTCTTCCACTTTTTTCTCCACCCTTAGAATCCTTCACGGTATTGGAAATATATATATTTAATAAATACTGGTGTGAGAGAAAAAACCCAGCACGTTACTTGGCAAACCAACACATTATATATACATGGATCTATTATTCCTGAAACTTAAGGACTGAAAAATGTTTAATGTTTATATAAAAATCAAGAGAGAGGGCTAAGTAATATTTACATTTTGCCTACAACAGAAAAGCCTTCAGTGATCCATGCCTCCTTTGAACAATATTCTGAATGCTATATTAGTATTTAAGATGGCAGTAACGGTTTGGAATTACAAATAAGTATCCTTTAAAAAGATGTCACTGTTGATGATGGGTACTAATACTGGCTAATGTTTACCGGGCACTCACTATCTGCTTTATTGGGCAGCCCTGTGCAAAGTGCTTTCTTGCTAAAGGAGGGAGCCCACTCACTGTACCTCTTTTGATTGCAGAAGGGAGCATTTGGGAATTTTCCCCCAGTAGTCGTCATCAGGAACAAGTTTGTCCTCCATCAGACGGTAAATACAGTTTGTTTCTATGATGGCTGTTTCATACAGTTCATCTTCTTTTGGGTCTCCAGCAGCTTTGGGATGAGAACAATAAGACGGAATTACATTTATACTGAAAAGTGGCTGGTCAGAATTAAGTAGGGGAGAAGAAAGGATATTCAAGTCTTGTCATTCCCTGAAATACAGTAAAAGCTTACATTGGTAACTGGTTTGGCCACCTAGAAGCTTCCAGAAGTCTTTGGCTGCATGCGTGTGTGTATTAATTCCTTCTTCGATAGTCTGGATATAAGTAGCTCTACATCCAAGTTCCCTCTTCGTCTGAATTAAAGTTGCAAGTTCTGAGGCCTGAAAAAAGGGAGTAACACAATTACCTGGGTAGACAAGCCCAGGACTCGGTCGGGTGGCACGTGCTGGAATCAGAGAAGAGAAATGGTGTGTCTGAAGGAAAACCTGGTGACCACAGGGCCAGAGGCACTGGTTGTGGGGTATTTTCAACAAAGCCAAAAAAATGTAACTAAAGGACCAGGGGTATCAGTTCTTTACAGCAATAGTTCTCAATCTTCAAATTCAACAGATCACTCGTGAAGCTTTTAAAAATTACCCATTTTCTGGGCTTTTCTCCATGATAGTCTCATTCAACTGGTCTCCAGCAGAACTTCATAGGTATGTGGGATAAACAACTTTGAAGCGATGTGCCAGGAGTAAGAACAAACCCAGGACTTAAAAACTCGAGGTGGGGGCCAGCCCGTTGGTATAGCGGTTAAGTTTGCGCACTCCACTTCGGTGGCCCAGGGTTTGCAGGTCTGGATCCCAGGTGCGAACCTACACACCACTTATCAAGCCATGCTGTGGTGGCATCCCACATAAAGTAGGGGACGATGGGCACAGATGTTAGCCCAGGGCCAATCTTCCTTGGCAAAAACAAAAAAAAGGAGGAGGATTGGCAATGGATATTAGCTCAGAGCTACTCTTCCTCAAAAAAAAAAAACCCCCACAAAAAAACAACTTGAGGTGTAAGTTATAATCCTTCTAAAACATCCCACTTAAGCATTTAATGAAAATCTGAGAGACATTCAAGATAATAAATACTACCTTATCCCCTCTTGCTTGAATGAAACACTGGGCGTTTGAGAAGCTTTCTAATGATCTGGCAACTGGTAGAACATTCTATTGGTATATAAAGGAAATGCTTAACTAAACTATTTTTATTTTTCAGATACCAACCTTCGCCTTTTCTATGACATTTGCAAACTCTCCTACCCACAGGAAGCAGTAATGGGGAGAGAGCAGCAGGAAGCAGTCTCCACTGTTGAGTGACGAAGCTCGAGGTTCAACCAGCCTTGTCTGCACGTGTCTTCTTCCTGAACACGAGGCCAAGAGTCACCAACTTCCCAGAGAGAACTCTCCGAGTCACAGAAGGACCAGGAAGCACCCCACATCTGAAGCATCCTGCTACAGACTCTTCCAGTTCTCAAGAGTCTCGTCTACTAACACTAGTTCCCGTGACCCGGAGTGGCGGAAGGGGATTTACAATGACAGCATTACAGACTACTTTCCCTTGTCAGTGCTTTTCCAAATGTCACCATGTTTCTTAGGATCACCATCGGCATCCTTTTACAGCATGTATATGGATTAACTAAGGTTCCCTCCTCCAGGTAAGTTGGCAAACATGCTGCTTTCCGCTCCCTCACTCATCTCCTGGTCTCTTTCTCTCCACTCGGCCCACCTCCTACATTTAATAACCTCTACTGGCCATGCCGTGGGGGAGGGCAGCCCTTCCTATAGCACCTGCTTCCCTCAGGAGTTTTCACTCTAAACCGGAGTGAGCCTTGAGAAGAATCAGCTTACAAGGAAGCAGGCCCTTGTGCTGCTTGCAACAGCTTCTCCTAAATGGTGGTTGATTTAGATCTTGCCACAATCACACCGACAGTGTAGTCTCTGGGTTAGAACAGGGAACTAGAGGTTGGTTATTTGCGCCTGTCATGGTCTTTCAAATGCACTACAAAGGACAGTAGTCATGCCGAAACACACTGGAAACCCTCTCAGAAGTAGAGGATGTTTCACCCATCCTTCTCTTGATGATCAATCTATAGCATTGCCATTGGGAGGCGGCTAAGTCACTGTCCTCGTAGCTCAGAGTGTCCCTGGTTGGTGGCTAAGTCTCCCTTGCTACTGAGAGAAAGGTGTTGGAATGGAACCGGGTCCACTTCACTTGCCTCTGCTTTCCCTTGATTCCTTCTCCAGGAACGCGCATCTCTCCCTCTGGACTGCACTGATGCTGCTTTACCTCAGCGAGGAGAACTGAGTGGTGAGAACCACTGTGACGACTTAGGGGGCATCTGGTAACTGCATGGCAGTGTTGTGGCAGGGGTCACGGGGCAAGAAGCTGAGCTTCTGGAATGGGAGAGACCTGGTTCAAATCCACTCTGCCACTCAAGAGCTGCTGTGACCTCAGGCACATCACTAACCTCTCTACACTTCAGTGGGCATCATATTCCTCCCTCAGCGGATTTTGTGAAGCTTTACAAAGCTTCTGTGAGAGGAGGTACTCTCACAGTACTCAGGAGGAGGTACTCAGCTCCTGGCACACAGAAGGTTCTCTTAAAGCATTTGTTCGCTTTCCTTTACAGGCAGTTAAGGGGCAGGCAGGCCTCCCGATGTTACAGACCGAAACCCCCGGTCTGTGTGTAACTCCTGTCTGCTGCTCTGAAATACCTTTAACCTGCAACAACATCAGCTTCTTATAGGGCACCGCGCTGTTGTTGGAATTCTGCTCCGTCAGATTGATGCTCCGCAGGCTGACATTGCTGAAGTTTTCTTTACTGGCTAAGCCTGCCAAGGTGACTTCTGAGAAGCTGGAGTTGGAGGACACTGGGCAGGTTGAATAGGGAAACACAACGAGGGGGAAGCCAGATGGTCAGGTGAAATGACAATGCTTACAATCAGAAATTATTCCTAATCGACTCACCACCTTTTTAAGGTTAATCCTGAGGGGGAGAACATACGCAAGTTTGACTGTCCAGTTCAATGAAGAACTACTGTGTTAGGAATTAAACACAGTATTCAAAGTATAATTGTCTTGTTGACACGTGTCAACTCATCATGCAGAGACCAGAACTGAGTGACAGTGTGGACCAGCGACTGTGGTATAAAATCAGGAGCTGGACTCACTTACTGCAATTCCACTGAAAGCTGTTATAATTCCCAATGATGTTTAGATGTTGAAAACACATCTCCACTGAAGACTGTTAGATGTCTTTCATCACAAGTCTCTATATGCAGAAAAGCAGGCACTCTGAAAGGCATGGTGTAGTTCTAATCTTTTTCTGGAGGGAAAGTGATCAACTAGATGATCCCTTGAGATCCTCTGCTCTCAGACTTAAGATTGTGATAAGATGCTGGGTTTTCAGCGTGGACCAACAAACGTATATGTGTCAGGCATCACAAAGCCATCCCCCCAGCCCCCAGAAAGTGGAGGTAGAGTCAAAGAACATAAAATTTGTGCCAAGACACCTTTACTTCTCCAACTCATCGTTTAAAAAAATGTATATGCTGGAGAGAAATTCAAGAAACTTATTTTGCTGGGATTAGGTTCTAACACTGGAGAAATGTAACATGACTTGACAATTCATATGGCATAGTGATTCTGAAACATACTTTCTTAGTAAACCAGTTATAATGAAAAGACTCAACCACTTCATCTAAATACTATATTTCTAAGAAAAACTTTAGGAAATAGGTTTATGAGTGCTACTGGAAAATAAAAATTATAGCAAGAACATTCAAAATAGCAAAATTATGCATGCCATTGTCTCCACCAAGAAAACCACTGTTTCAGAACTATGGAACCCCACATTATTGGGCAGATATAAGCGGAATGGCTTAGCCTGAAGTAGGACAGAGACCCTGGAGCCCACCTCCTCTCTCTCCATTCACTGCCACATCCCAACTCCCCCATCCACCCAGCCCACATCCCAACTCCAAGGAGGCCGAGGATCCCGAGGATCTTGTCAAAAACAACTTGAAAAGCACTGGTTTTTGTATTAATTAACAATATAAAAGTCTGTGATTAGGCAAAGCAGTGATATGAGACATTTTGCCATGAGAGATCAAATGATTTCCCCTTGAATAAGCTTTAAGTGGAGAATTATTACATTTGGGCTCTACAGAGCTGAAAACGGATTGAATTACGAAGCCCAGACACATCCTTTTCCTCCAACCTCTTGAAAGAACACTCAGCAAAACAGGATAATTTGAATTAACCAAGTGAACAGATGCTCCAGCTGTAAGAATTTCTGTGAAAAGCCTTTAAATTCCAGGCAGCTTTTCTGCAGGTGTGCGTGTTCAAACTTACTCATATTTGTTTAATGAGTGTCTTTTGAGCACCATTATTGGCCTTTGCAAGGCAGAAAAAGGAGAGGATTAAAATCACCTGATCACCAGATCCAAGCACAGAAGCAGGTGGCGGTCCCAAATACTCACTCTTCTCTACTTTCATCCGCTTTGACTCCATGAAGGCCACGTTTAGTCTCTGCTCAGTGTACTCCTGAAGGAGATCTTCTCTGGCCGCCAGCATCTTCAACGGGTTCTTGGAAGCCTGAACCCGGCGCTTGGGCCTCACTGCGCGCTTGTGCTCAGCCACAGAAGACGTCAACCTGAGGGACAAAGCAGAGCTGCGGCCTTGGTGCAGAATCCCCCGCTCCTGCTTTACGTGTGGGGCTTTGACCTGCAGCAATGGGCTCCACAATTTTATTTCCTGATTTCATTATAAATCTTACATCTCCTCCTCCTGCCCTCCACTCCCCTGACGTGGAGTCATAGAATCCTGGAGATAGAAGGGAAATTCAAGATCCCAGCCAGTTTCAGAAGCCCCGACTCACACCTCACCCTGGGTCTCTGCCAGGAGGAGCTCTAGTGTCTATTGGGCAGCTCCTTTCACTACTAGACAGCTCTTCCCTATCCTCATCAAACCCCTGCACGCGTCCTAATTCTCCCTTTGAAATCATACGCTCGTCTACTTCTGTTACTAGCAAGCCCTTCAAGAAATTATAGCCAGGCACTGCTTCTCAATTTAATCCTCTTTCCTCCAGATGAAACTTTCTCTTCACACAATAGTTTTTCTGTTCCCTCAACAACTCCCCCATAACTAGCCTCCTCTCAACCCACTGCCCTCCTCTGAAGAATAACCACTATTTTGAAGAATATATTGTAATAAAATAGGCACACAAAACCAACTATGATCACCATACACTGACAGAACTCTCTGGGTAGGACGACTAGACCTAGGAGGTGGGCAGACCCAGTCACGTGATTTCCCAACAGATTCTGGCTGCTGCTCTCAACTTCCAATCACAGACCTCCGTGCCTGAAAGTCTTCATATGTATCATATTATCCTGTGTGTGAGTGCGTGTGTGTGTGTGTGTGTGTAAACACACATATATACATTTATATATAATGATTTAAACAATGACATTTGGGTTGGGAGAAGATTGAGAAATGGTTAAATAACTATGAATGCAAATACCTAAAATACTATTTAAAGGTAGGAAATGGCAAATTGTTCATTTTTTTAAGGTAGCAAATTGAAAAACACTGAACAAATTCAAATATGCAAAAAATGTATCAGTGTGGCTTAAGAAAAAAATCTACGATGACTACACAGACTTCTGGAAGAAAATGTCACTTTGATAAATTTGTAGGAAATAGATAAATGTGGTTGATAGCTGTGGCTTTAGCCTGCCCAGCATGTTCTCCCCTGCCTCTGGTAGGAGCACCCGACTCTCCTTTGGGGGAACCACCTCACTCCACTCCGGTCCCCCAGCCCAGCTCTGGAGGGGATCCAGAGACCAGCTGTGGCCAATCAGCATCTTCCATCCCCTTGGCCACAATGATTGCATTAGGGATGGACTCAGACCCAAGAAAATCAAGCCTGGAACTTCTGCTGGAATTACTTGGAAGAGAAGCTACCTGGGCTGGGATGGCCATCTTCCACCACATGGTTACAGCCTGACTGAGAAGGAGCCAGCCCAAAGGAAACTAGCCAAGAGAGAGGCCTCATTTCAATGAGCCTCTGGACCTGAGTTCACGCCTGTCCTGTTCAATGAGTGAACCTAGACTTACACATAAATCCCCTACACCTTTCTTTTGCTGAAGTCAGTTTGACCTGGATTTGTTTCTGGCACTTGCAACCGAAGGAATCCTAATACCATAATCAATCACTTTTCTTAGGTGGTTTAGTCATGTTCCTGTGTGAAGACAGACCCTTGGGCATCACTGAGAAAACCCTCAGATCTATTGATTTTCTAAATTATTGGAAGCTGAGTAACATCCTTTACTGATTTTCTAGTTAGTTGTATTAATTTGAGCCCATGTGATCCAAATATTTTTCAGTCATGAGTAAGAATTCAATGTACAATGAAAGACAGATATAGAAATCTCTGCTAAACGACGTTAATTCTAAAAACCTGCAAAACAATATTTGAGTTACGTGAAAACTATTTTTAGGAACATGACAAACATCTGGGGCACGTGCTGTGTAGGCAAGACTTTCTGCCTGAACGCACATCTGTTCTGGACTACACGTTTTATCTACACATGTGGCTGTAATGAAGTTCCATAGCAGAGGAGATAACACAGTGAGAGAAGATCCTCGTGAAAGTATTGTGTGGAGGCCAATGAAGGAACCCCCTCTCAGTGGGTGAAAGATGGAGACTGAAATAACTCACTTGGGTGCATAAGGATCAAAAATAACATCGAAGTCCTCGTCTAGCTCCACAGGGCTTCTTGGTACAGTATAATCCATGCTGCGGTAAAATTTGGCAAAGGTTTCATCATCGTCCAACTTCATCACCTCTTTAACAGATTTGCCGGTGACAGTGAGCACAGTTTCTTGCGTCCCACCAACTATCAACAAACAAGCAAATAAATGACATAAGAGTTGTGTAAAAACATTACTCCAACTACTCCTCACAATAACTTAAAAATTATTTTCCCCCTAAGTTCCAGGAGTGAAGAAAACATAACAGTGATGCCCAGGGTCCTGGGGATGCTTCCTGGGCCTTATGTGCCTTCTCACGGAAGAACTTCCCGTCCGAACACAGCTTGTGCCAGGAAGTGGCAGGAGAGAGGGAGGCTAGCCTGGCTGCACACAAGCCCACTGAGCATTTCTGAACTTGTTCCTTTTGCCACTGGAGGCAGAACTAGCCTCAGCCTCATTCTAGATCAGGGGTTGGTGAAATCTTTTCTGCAATGTGCCATGTAGTAAATCTTTTAGGCTTTGTATGGGAGGCTATATGGCCTGTGTTGCAACTACTCAAGGCTGCTGTTGGCAAAAGTGACTACTGACAATACGTTAACAAATGGGCATGACTGTGTTCCAATGAAACTTTATTTCCAAAAACAGGCAGAGACCTAGATTCTTTTGCTGACTTCTGCCCTAGATCATGGTTACATATATATAATAAACTTTGAATTGTTTGCATTCCTTGCCTTGCCAGTTTAGTTATTATATTACACTTTTATATTTCTGGTTTAAAGGCATTGTTTGCATTATTCTCAACCTATTAGGGGTCACTGTCAATAGCAGGGACTCCCAACACTTAGAATTTGCTAAGTTTCAAGTGGGAATTTTTTTTTTGTGAGAAAGATTAGCCCCGAGCTAACATCCGATGCCAATCCTCCTCTTTTTGCTGAGGAAGACTGGCCCTGGGCTAACATCCGTGCCCATCTTTCTCTACTTTATATGGGATGCCGCCACAGCATGGCTTGATAAGCGGTGCATCAGTGCGTGCCCGGGATCCGAACCTGCGAACCCTGGGCCGCCACGAACTTAACCTCTACGCCACTGGGACGGCCCCCTTCAAGTGGGAATTTTTATTAAGAGATGAGGCTGTTTCTATATATTATTCTTTTATTTTGCATACTTTATTGACTTCTGTATTGAAATATCTATTTCAACATTTATTTACCAGAATTTTCTTTTAGAAATCATTTGTGATTATAAGATATAATATCAGCTGCTACCTTATTGTAAATTGACATACACAATTTAAAGTTCAACAGGCCCAAGATCGTGTTGATTTTGTATAATAACCTGCTTTCAGGGTTAAAAGCAAAATTACTGAGTTCATGACCCTGACTGGATGATATGCCAAGGGTGTAGATTCAGGAACAAATGTTATTGGGGGCCCCCAATTTAGTACATTATCAAGTGGATCAGAGCTCAGTAATCCAATCAGTCTTGACCAGTAACTTCATTTTTTAAAAGATAACAACAAAGACAATGCTTACAGTATGAATCGGTGAAATCAAATTAAAAAAAGACAGTTTAGCTGAGGAGAAAAAGCAATCGCAATAGGGATTTAGAGATTTTGAGAGAGGACAAAGTACTTTTTAGGTTTCCTTAGCTACTCATTGAAATACGAATCACAGTGTGCTATAAGCATATCAATCAGGGCTTCCCTCTGGCTTCTGGTCTGTACCTTTGTTATTCAGCCTTCTCAGAAAGGTTTCCAGCCTGTCCAACTTCAGGTCTGACTCTAACTGCATGTCTGGTCTGGCTTCGATATCTAGGCAAGTAGAAACCAACAATGAGAGAGAGCCACCAAGGCCTCTTCTGATCACAGACCCATTGGCACATGGGGTGCCATGGTGGCTTACCTTCCAGGGGTTTGGAAACTGGTGTTGTGCCCCTTGTTTTACTGCAAATAGGGGACGCTACTGGCGTTATGGCAGTGGGGGATGCCAAACCTGCAGAACAAACAAAGGAGCTGTTTAGCATCTCAGGATTGTTTCCGGAAATTGCCAGGACCCCGATGGATCTCCCTTAGTCCCAATGTAGATTTTACAACTTACAGAATTTACACACACGCATACATGTGCACACACACTTGTGCATTTGGCAGGTACCCTGGCCACGTAGGACAACTGAAAATGTAGATAAGATTTTATTGTTTCTAAGGACTGCAGTAGCTGACTAGCTGACATTCCAAAATGAACAATGAAAACATGTCCGTGACATGTGAATGGAATAAGAGAGTATATAAGGCAATCAGAATAAACTTGAACAAATGGAGTTGTGAGTTCTGAGGTCCTTTGGGGGCTGGAGGTAGGTGAAGAGAAAGCATATTTGCACCATCTCCCGCAGAGGAAGTGGAGAATGGGCTGTGTCACTCGCTGGCAAGTGGCCCTGGCACTGGAGTTTTCCTTCAGGCTGGGTTGAGGTAGGGACAGTAGGGCCTTTGGGCCATCACTCAGAGTGGTCTCTTGAGCAATAGCCCAAGGAAGTGCTAATGTTTTAGAAGAAAGACCCAGAATAGTATACGTTTAAGTTGGTTTGTGATGTTTTGAGAGTCTGTGCATCTTGGGTGTGGCTGGAACTGGTGTTACCCTCTCACTTGTCTTTATCAAGACGCAGGGTGGGAATCTTTAGAAGGGCAAATTGTAAGGAACATATGAAAGGGAGAGAAAGGAATTCCAGCACAGAGAAGGGATCTGGGTGGAACAAGAAACCTTAATAAAGACAAATAGGAGTATTTTTTTCTAACCTAAGGGATTGGAAAGGGACATAATTAGTGCATTTACAAAGAACAAAATGAGATGTTAATGTTCTTTGCATTCATTTTTAATAAATGTGAAATCATCAGAGGACACTGCCACTTTAAGCAACCCTCAAAGAACAATCTTCAGAGAATATGTAAATCACTATTGCTCACAAACAAAAATAAACGAATGAATCGCTCTGTTCCTTCCTCCTGTGAGCTGGAGAGGGATGTATTATGGCATAAAAATTTTAAGGAAAAATACTGAAATGTAACTTAACACTTAAGTTTCAGGTGATATTCTAGAAGTACTTCTCAACGTGTACATATATTTGCTTGATGATTTTTAAAAATTTATTTCAATTACCAGACCTGAAAAGGGTTTATATCAGTGACAAAGTAAGCTTTCTTGAAAGATAATAAAAATAAGTAAAATTTGGTATCACAGGCTGGGACGGTAAATCATTACCTACTAAGAGGATGCATAAGAGATATCAAAATCCAAGTTCATCCGCACAGAGGTCACTAACTCTGAAGCTAAGGAACAGGCCTGACTCAGAAGGAACCAGGAAACCTGCCCCTCTGTACTGCCAGGGCGCCCCCTGCTGCCCGCTCAGGCAGCAGCACGCACAAGAGCTCCTGAAGGCGGGACATCTCTTTCCCAGCTAGAGATGATTTTTCCATAATCGGGGAAGGTATATATATTCAAATTACACCATGTTAAAACAAAACAAAGCACTCCCCATCCCTCTTTTCAGTGAATTCTACATGCAATAACCAGTCATCTACTCTCTTCGGGAACATTTTCACATCCCTCTAACTCAAAGGCATACTTTGAGTATTTTTCTGCTGGGAGAATCCTAGAATACCGCAGAAAACTTGTGGAGTACTAATTGTTACATAGAATCTAGGAATATCAAAAAGGGAGAAAGTCCTAATGAGGCTAGGGGAGAAGAGAGTTTTCTAGGGTGAGAGGATGAAAACCAGGGCACACAGGCCTCTCGGCAACTCGCTGATATGGTAACTTGTGGCCATTGTAACTTGATGGGATGGGAAGTCTGCATGGCTGTAGTGAAGAGCTATTTTATTCTGCAATGAGTGTAAATTGGATGCCATATTATTGCAAATCAAAAAGAGCTGAAGACTCCAGTGACACATACAACCTAGTAGGTGGTAACAAATAGAAAAGTTTTTTCAATAGATTAAAAGTACAAGAAACTTATTTCCTGAGCAAGCCATATAGCACCTGTTAAATAAAGATCCTTGATTTACTCAGGAAAACGTGACGGCAAACTCAACCCCTAAGGGATAGGACCTTGCTCTCCGAACCTGTCTGAGAGCAAGTCTCCTTCCTCTGATGTCACTGTGGACAAGGGCAGTGCTATTTGGCAGTAAGGGCCCGCTTACAAATAAAACGTGATGTTTAAGATGGAAGAAGAAAAAAGAAACCAAAGTAAAAAGTCATCGGGAAAATGAAGTCAGGGCTAGAGGTCGGAAGATGGGAGCTCTGGTTCAAGTCCTCAGCTTGAGTTCTTCTGTAACAATGTGGCCATAGGGTCTGCTTGTTAACACAGGGATGGGGCTCATATAAAGAAGTTAACAGGATTATACAGTTCTGGGATTTGATGTAGAAAATACTCAAAGGCTACCTCATTCTGGGAGAGTAAATTATCTTCTGTTATCCTTTGGCAATTCCAAGATTAGCTAAGAATAGATTTGTTAGAAGGGATTCTTCCACCAAGATCTGAGTTAATCACAATTCAGGGGTTTCCATGCCTCCCTCCGCACCTCCTTCTGCAAATATTTATCATGAGCCTACAATGAGTTAGGCACTATTCATGAGTGAGGATCATCAAAAGTTTTGAGAAAACGGAAACATAAATCTAGAAAGCTGATGACAATATAAGTTAACTCTAAATGAATGTGACCACTTTTATCAGGAAGTTAGGAAATTTGCTTTTAAATAATAGCTTAGAAAATGAAGGTATGTGCACATAGGTCACAAGGGGACCCCAAATTTTAACCATTTCCTATAGGATATGGAGCCTCAAAGCTCTCTGGTGACTTTACTAACCAGGTGATAGGTCAGTCAATTTCATAAATCTTTGGATACAGGCTTTGAATCAGGTCCAAGAGCTCAGATGCAGGGAAATGACCCTCTGCAGGGAAATCCAACTTCCTTGGAACTGGACATATCTTTTAGACATCTATTAAAACTTATCTGGAAATCGGGCTTTGTAAGCCAGAGAACTCTGGTTTGATGGAAAGGGACCTAGGAATTACCCTAAAAGGGAGAAGAGAGAAACTCCTTCTTCATTGAGAAAGGCTTCTTTGGGTTAACTAATTGCCAGATGGCAAGAAAATGGAAATAATTTAAAAACAATTAAGGGAAAGGACTAAGATTTGTTAGCACATTCGCAATTGCTTTTGAAACTTGTGCTCAATTTCCAAATGGCTAAGTTTTGAAATGGGACTAACTGAATTATGCTTCTGACATTGAAGATGACACGACTTATGAAGAAAAGGTATTCAGTAGGAATATCTCACAAAACCTACCCCCAAAATCATTTACACAACTTAAGTAAGATTAAAAACTAAAGACCAGGGCTTGATTTTTTTGATTGAGCTATCACACGCCACCCTCCCCTCCATGGGCGATGGAGCGTGTGTGCACCCACATACAAGCACACATGCACGCAGGCACGCACGCACACACACTCTGACCTTTCTTCACCATCCTGCCGGCCACTGTAAACTGGGTGGAGTCGTTGGCTGCTCCTTTGCCCTTTGTCTTCCAGGCTTCTTCTCTCACTGTAATGAGGTGCTTCCTCTCCTCGATAGACATTTGGTTCTCTCGACTCTCTGTGACCCGCTGTTTATAATGTGTACCAAGGAGAAAAGAGGAGAGGGAAATGGTAGAGATGTGAATGTTAGCCTATAGCATCTCGTGAGCTGAAAAGCAGGCAAGCAAAGAGAAGTACTACATTGTCCAAGACCGTCCATCACTGTTCTATCTGAAATCGGTTTGGCTTCCTCATTTCCAGCTTGAGTTAGAGATCACCATCCACAATACTGAAACTTGAGGTTAAAATTTTGTTTTTTTTCACTTATTCGTTTGGAATGCTGGAAGACCCAAATGATACTTTGTAAACATAAACAAAAACAGAGAGATTATCTTCATGCCATGAACTTTACAGGGTTTTAAAGTTGCTCTGTTTAACCTATCTAAACTCAGATGATTAGGAAATTTTATCCATAGAAGCTCACAAAGAACATGGTCATTCTAGAAAATCTTATCCACTAAGTTCACAAGGAACATGGTCAATTACAAAGGGAAAGCTGATGAGGAATAAGGTGTGCTAGAACAAGGTTTTCTGGAACTCTGCATGCTTTTTCCTAGAGCAAGTGTTACAGCGGCAGGTAGGCAACCAGGTCAGCCCATGGACCTGACTTTAAGTCATAGTATATGTGACACTGAGGATGAATCGTGCTATCAACATAACCTACATATATACTAACATTTCCCCCTAAAAAATGCTTTCACAATTTTCTAATTGGGGTTCTGGAGACACTTGCCTCTTCAATTTCTAAGCCATTGGTGACACTCATTTGGCCTAAAGGGAAGAAGCTGGAGGGGGCTGGAGGGAGATCAGCGAGGGAGAAGGAGCTCAGGTCAGGATGGGGACAGGGTGAAGGGGCTGAGATGAGAGGATGAAGAGCAGGAGGAGGCCGAGGACAGGGCTCCAGGCACTCAGGGCATCAGAGGGGAAGGACCTGGTGGGGAGAAGGGGTGTGGAGGATGGCAGCGGGTGATGGGGGAGTTCCTCAAATGTTGGCAGGACAGTTTGCTTTCCCTCCTCCTTCAGGCCATCTCTCCTTTCACTACAAAGCCCCTCTCTGCGGCGGGGCATGGGACAGGGTGAGAAGTGGGGAGAGGGGCAGGTGCTGTGGGAGCTACTGTTGCAGAAGGAAGAGAGGAAAAGCATCCTCCCCGGAGCATAAAGAGCCTCCCTCGGCTGTCCACCTAGAGGTCCTTCCTCTGAAACGGGCTCTAAAGATGGCGATGATCTGGGAGTCTGTCCTCTTGCTTTAACTTCAGTCTTTTCTTAGAACTGAGCAATGCCCTTTCTGCTGTGGCATTTGCTTTCAAACTACAGATGAGCTCTCCTTAACCACTTCTGGCAGTGTCCCCAGCTCCTCTTCCCTCATAAGGAGTTTTTCTTTGGATAAGAAGTCAAGGAGGATCAAAGTGATCCTACAGCCTTCCACTGACACAGTGGGAGGCCCAGGAGAGCCCTGGGGGGTAAACACATCCAGGGGGCTCAGGGATTCTCTTCCTCCACAACTGTCCACTAAGGCAAGTGACCTTCCCTTAATCGACCCACAGGAAGTAACTTCCAGATTCATTCAGGGAGAAAGTGGAAATGGACACAGCTCATCTTCTTAAAGCCCTGGGATGATGGAGGGAAATAGAGGAGAGAGGGCTTTCCTTCCTTTCCAGCCGCATAAAACCACGTCTGCACTGGTAAAAGTCAGTCTAAGCCACAAACATGTACTTCTCCATCATCTAGTTCATGAATCTTCCTTTTACAGAATTCTTCTACTGAATAATCATAGTCAGAACTGATTTTGAGATTCTTCGTAATTTAAATTAGGTTAAAAACCATTTCCTAAAGAGACATGACACTAAACGCAATGCATGATCCTGGCTTGGATCCTAGATGTGGTGGGGATGGAGGCTAAAAAGGACATTACTGGGGGGAAGTTGACATAATTGGAATATGGACTATGGATTAGATAAACATTGAATTAGTTAAACTTCCTCATCTTGACCACTGTACATGGCTATGGAAGGTTGCCATAGACTGAATGTCTGTATCCCCCCAAAATTCATGTTGAAACCTAATCCCTAATGTGATGGTATTAGGAGGTGAGGCTTTTGGGAGGTGATTAGGTTATGAGGGTGAAGCTCTCATGAATGGGATGAGTGCTCTTTATAAGAGACCCAGAGAGCTCCCTTGGCCCTTCCACCCATGAGGACACAGCGAGAAGATGGCCACCTATGAACCAGGAAGTGGGTCCTCACCAGATGGTGAATCTACTGGTGCCTTGATCTTGGACTTCCCAGCCTCCAAAACTGTGAGAAATAAATATCTGCTGTTTATAAACCACCTAGCCTATGGCATTCTGTTAGAGCAGCCCAGACTATGTATATATTCGTGAGAGGGAAGGGGGAAGGCGGAGGTCAGCAGGGGGTTGGGGGTGGAGCGAAGAAAGGAGAGAGAAGTGGGGGAGGGAGCAAAGGCCAACAATTGGCGGACGTGATAAAGGGTATGTGAGAGTGCCCTATTACGGCAACTTTTCCATAAGCTTTAAATTTTATCAAAATAATTAAAAAGCTGTTTTCCTTAACTTTCACACTCATGGTTGGTGAGATGACCCTAATTCCAAGTACCTCTCAGAATCACACACCCTATTAAATAAACTATGAGGTTGATCTGCCAGGAGGACCTCATCAAAATTCAAAAAAAAATGTTTTCTTTGAAAATGAAGTTTTAGGAGTGAATTTTAATCAAATCAATATGGCTTTAAGCACTTGGCTCAAAATATTTTGAAAAGACATATAAAATGCCAAGAAAGTTTGCTTCTCCAAAGATCCAGATATCACTAGCTCTACAGTGAACTAAGCAACACATCTTCAAAGTCCTGGGTGTGGTAGTGGATGTGGCTAATGATGCAGATAAATGGCATCCCCAAATCAACAATTCCATCTCCCCAAGCACCTGGACTCCCCTGGAGCTCCCTTGAGAACCTGATAGATACGAGCCTGGGATGATACAGCTGTTTTAAGAATTAAAGCTTCCAGTAGTTTGCCAGATCTATATTAAGGAGGAGCATTTTTTTATTCCTGTCTAAATGATAATATTAAATATAAAGGTTTTTGCTTCTCTAGAAGTTTCACTTTAACTTTGCTCCTTATTGGGGTTGGTTTAGGGCTCCCTAATTCCTCCTATCTGACTTTAGACAGCTCTATAATGGGGGAATGAATAGACAGCTTATTTACTCACTGAACAAATTAATAAAATTTATCACAAGTTGCTATTAAATTTTAGAACTCAAAATGTGAAAACAAGTAGGATGGACAGTAAGATCTTTGTCCATTGACTATTTTTTTTAGCTTAAAACTTCATTATTGTCGTCTTGTTTTGCCCTTCTAAGTTTTTCTTTCCTCGTTTAGAGAAGGACATAATCCATATTATAAGTATCGTGCCATTATCCAGGTTTATCCAGGTTTAGCTGATGATATTTAGGATCGAATGGAATAGTGAGTGAGTTAGGGCAGAATATGAATGGAAGCCCTGCCCCATCTTCCTTCACTCTTCCAATACAGACCCCATGAACGAGGTGCAGAGAGACGGAGAGGGAGGGGAGGGAACAAGAGTGTGCGGACACTTGTGTGTGTGTGTGTGTGTGTGTGTGTGTAGAAGGCAGTGAAACGGTTGAGAAGAAAGACAGGTTTTAGGGATGGACAGAGACTTGGGAGGACACAGCTTGAAACTGTGCAAGGGATCAGTCTGCAAGAATGTTTTCAGGTTACCACATGGTTACTGATGGGTCTGCCTCTACACTTACTGAGAAATCAGTGTGGAAATCTCACTAAATGCTTCTGACACAGGGAGGGAATACAACAAGAGAGAGCAGAACTGACATGTCTTACTAGGATTCATGCAGATTTAAGGGCAAAATTCTTCCACAACTGGAGAGCTTTAGGATAGAAAAGATTGTGATCTGGCTTTTAAATTTTTACCTAATTCACATCTAGTTAAACTAAATTATAGGAAGAAATTATGAAAGCACATAGTAATAAATAATAGAAATAAAGCAAAATGACAAATCAGGACTTCTCAGTTTTTAAAAATGCTGTCACCATTTAGAATTCTGGGGACTGTTAAAGAAATTTAGCTTTGCCCCCTCATTAAGCGATTTCAGGACATCATCAGTGCACGCAGCCTCAAGTGGCCAGAACAAAACATGAAAAAAGATCTCAGCTAGGCTTAGAACTCAAAGCAACCATAACCTGATCTTGTCAACATCTACTAGCAACTAAGAGGAAAGTAGAGGAGTAAAGGAAAATCTTATTCTGGTACAGCCCTGAGGCAGGTGAGGAAGAAGAAAATGTGTGTTCAAGCCTGACAAAGAGAAAAACAGTCCTTTTAGACAGAGCTGGTGTGCTGTTTAAATGTTCTGCTTTCTTCTTTGAGCCTCTGCATTATTGAATATTGACACCAGGACTGCTGGAGCAAAGGCGTCTCGAAGGACACTGGTGAGCCAGTGCTACATAACTGGTATATAAAAAGTTTATCTGGGAAAATTCTCAAGAAGTAAAAATACAGAATTTTTAAGCCATTTTAATTTTGAAGAAATAAAACATAGATGGCCTCTGGTAAATGCTATTTTTCTTTAAACTTAAAGATATATGGAGACATATTCCTTGTTCATGAATTGGAAGATGCAATATTAAGCTGTCAGTTCTTCCCAACTTGCTCTATAGATTCGGTGCAATTTGAATCAAAATCCCAGCAAGTTATTTTGTGGATATTGATGAACTGATTCTAAAATATGCATGGAGAGACAAAAGACCCAGAATATCCAACACGATATTGAAGGAGAACAAAGTCGGAGGACTGATACTACCCGACTTCCAGACTTACTATCAACTTACAGGAATCAAGACAGTGTGGTATTGATAAAAAATATACAAATAGATCAACAGAACAGGACAGAGAGCTCAGAAACAGACCCACTCAAATATACTCAACTAATCTTTGAAAGGAGTGAAGGCAACACAGTGGAGAAAAGATAGTCTTTTCAACAAATGGTGCTGGAATAACTGGATATCCACATGCAAGAAAAAAAAGAAAGAAAGAGAGAGAAAAAAAGAATCTAGATACAGACTTAACACCCTTCACAAAAGTGAACTCAAAATGGATCACAGACCTAAATGTAAACACAAAACTATAAAATTTGTAGAAGATAATATGGAAGAAAACCTAGATGATCTTGGGTTCAGTGATGACTTTTTAGATACAACACTAAAGGCATGATCCATGAAAGAAATAATTGATAAGCTGGACTTGACTGAAATTAAAAACTTTTGCTCTGTGAAAGATACTGTCAAGGGAATGAGGAGATAAGCCACAGACTGGGAGAAAATATATGCAAAAGACACATCTTATAAAGAACTGTTATCTAAAATATACAAAGAACTCTTAAAACTCAACAATAAGAACACAAGTAACCAATTAAAAAATGGGCAAAAGATCTGAACAGATACCTCACCAAAGAAGATATACAGATGGCAAATAAGCAAATGAAAAGATGCTTAACATCATATGTCATCAGGGAAATGCAAATTAAAACAACAAGATTGTTGTTGCTTTACGAGACAATGAGATTGCTACACACCTATTAGAATGGCAAAAATCCAAAACACTGACAACATCAAATGCTGGAGAGGTTGTGGAGCAACAGGAACTCTCATTCATTGCTGGTGAGAATACAAAATGGTACAGCCACTTTGGAAGACAGTTTGGCAGTTTCTTACAAAACTAAACATACTCTTATCATATGATCCAGCAATCACGCTCCTTGGTACCCAAAGGAGTTGGAAACTTTTAGCTACACAAAAATCTGCATATGGATATTTATAGCAGCTTTATTCAAAATTGCCAGAACTTGGAAGCAACCAAGATGCCCTTCAGTAAGCAAATGGATAAATAAACTATGGTACATCCAGACAATGGAATATTATTCAGCACTAAAAAGAAATGAGCTATCAAGTCATGAAAAGACATGGAGGAGCCTTAAATGCATATTACTAAGTGAAAGAAGCCAATCTGAAAAGGCTGCATAGTGTATGATTCCAACTATATGACATTCTGGAAAAGACAAAACTACAGAGATAGCAAAAAGATCAGCGGTTGCCAAGGATTTGGGGGGAGGTAGGGATGAATAGGTGGAATACGGAGGATTTTTAGGGCTGTGAAACTACTCTGTATGATATTCTAATGATGGCTACAAGTCATTACATATTTGTCAAAATCCAGAGAATGTACAACACCAAGAGTGAACCCAAACATCAACTATGGATGTTGGAGAATAATGAGGTATCCATGTAGGTTCATCATTTTTAACAAATGTACCAGTCTGGTGTGGGATGTTGATAGTGGGGAAGGCTATGTGTGTGAGGGGGCAGGAGGTATATGGGAAATCTCTGAATTTCTGCTCAATTTTGCTGTGAACCTAAAACCGCTCTAAAAAATAAAGGCTATTTGGTGGACACTGACTGGCTCTGTGGGCTGGGCTCTCACAGAGCAGCATTCCTAAGTTCAGAGGAAAGGAGCCACAGAAAGCGAGGGAAAAGGCCACCTTAGGGAGAAGGAATGGAGAGTTTCCATTTGTGAAGATGTGAGATGAATACAGGGGGACCCACCCACCCTCCCTCTGGCAGCACCCTGGCGATTTCATATTCGAAACCCTGCGCCTCTCCCTCGAGAGCTGTTTTGTCACTACTGGTCCTAAACGAACAGTACAGTCATGAAATTTTTAGTTAGCGCCACCTTAGAGGTAACAAAGTCCCAGTGCTGATGAGGAGATAGAAGCCCTCAGAGGTAAGGCACTGGCCAAAGTCCCACAGACGGAGGAGACTATAACCTGGGATTCATGGCAAAGTGGATGCAGCCACTTTTCAAAGCTATTTTGACACCAGGGACATTCCCAGGGGAATACAAAACAATCATCGACATTTTTAACTTTAAAAATTACCGCATATTATACACCAACAGAGTCACTCAGCCCAGGCCAGGTCTCCCCTCTGGGGTGGGGTTCAGACGGGGGGCAGTGAGGATGGAGGGAAAGGGGCAGGAGGTCTGTGGGTTTTCATTTAAACAGAGCCACTGCAAGCAGCTCATGTCAGCCCGGCTCTTCCTTGCTGTATCTTCCTCCCTCTCCCTTCCACGCCCCAGCTGCCTCCACCGCACCCTCCCACTTCATCAGGCTAAGCAAGCAACCTCGCCACTGAGGCGGAGCAAGGAACACTCTGGCGTACTTCTTGGGCTCCTGACTCAACTTAGGATGTTGGAGCTTGGAGATCAAAAGGGGAAACTTTCCTCTTAAACCAGTTTCATGATTATGAGGTGAATTAACACCATCAGGGCTACCTCCAAGTCAGAGCCAAGGATGCAATGTGTGTGACTGACCCCAAATATACAAAGAACTGATTAAACACACACACACACATACACGCACACACACAAACGCAGCACAGGAGTTGCTTCCCCAAATGAAACAAGTTCTTCCCTGCTGCTCAGAAATTGCAATGAGGCTTAATACACGTAGGCTTTTCCTCACCTGATTAATAGATACAAAAGACAGGTATTTATGGGCAGCAGGTATAGCAGGAGAATAAGTAGAAGCATATACAGGTTCCTATAGAGCAAAGCAAGAGGATTAGAGGTGAAAAGAGAAGATTCATCAGAGCAGGGTGGGGAGGGAGAGAGACTAAAACAATGAATTCTCTAACAATGTTAATCTACTCATTGCAATTTCAGTTCTCTTTTCAAGAGAGTCCTTCCTATTTGATTATTTTTTTAGAACATTAAATAAATCCACACAAGCACAGTAAATATACCCGAGTCAGCTTTGTGCAGTAACTAAATGAGTTAATGGCAGGATTACTGCAATTTATATAAGATATTCAGTTACAGAAAGGGGAACCATGACTTTTCTCGGACAGTTTTAACATTTAACATAAAATATCTTCTTTAAAGCCTTTAAAGTCTTTTCATTACATCATTAAAAAAGAAAATGTAAGGAAACAGGATAGCTCTCCACTCTGGATAAAGGTAGCATCTCACCTCGGGATAAAAACAGAGCAGAGGGGGCCGGCCCGGTGGCGCCAAGCAGTTAAGTGTGTGCGCTCCGCTGCAGCGGCCCGGGGTTCGTCGTTGTTCAGATCCTGGGCGCGCACCGACGCACTGCTTGTTAAGCCATGCTGTGGCGGCGTCTCATATAAGTGGAGGAAGATGGGCACAGATGCTAGCCCAGGGCCAGTCTTCCTCAGCAAAAAAGAGGAGGACTGGCATCGAATGTTAGCTCAGGGCCGGTCTTCCTCACAAAAAAACAAAAATAAAAACAAAAAAACACTGAGCAGAGAACAAAGGGAACCATCAACGTTGAGAATTACCCGTGAACAGGTGTAACTGGCTATAATGTGGAGAACACCTACGTTCGAGTCAGGCTTACCCAAAGCAGATTAGAAATGGCACTATCATCTGTAAATCCTCCTTCTTCCTATAGGTTAAAACAAATAGGAATCATTGCCAACTGTCAGAAGAGCAGGGTCGAGTTAGAGTGTGACCATCATTTTCAAGCATTCTGTGCCTGAGTTCAGTGAGAAGCATGCACATGCTCACATAGTCGGGTGGCACACACACCAGGAAACTCATACCCCATCAACAGGATGATAAGCTTTAATTTGGAGCTCATCCCATCAGCCGTTCTCTCTCTCCTACCCTTGCTCTAAAATTGACTTCCTTCTCCTGAGTTGTGATTTGGAATTGCAATGACAGCAGGCAATTTGAACATGAATGTGGCCGATTCATCTTCCCTGAATTTTCAAGGACTTGTTCTGGGGACATCATAGATCTTAGCTTGATTCACTGACCTGATACTACTGAGCACAGTGGACATCAAATCCTAATCTGCGACTCAGAAATAGATGCAGAGTTGTAATGGCAAACCCTATAAAGGGTTTTTATTTCCTGGAAAAGTCTGATATTCTGGATGATTATCTTAAAAGGACATGGGAGTCCCTGTATACGCCTTACTGGTGAATATGCCAAAATGGGGTTGGAACTTAAATAATTATTTGGTGAAAATAAATAACTGCAATTTAGTTGTAACAACAAGACCTCTTGCCAAATCACTTCTTTAAAACTTCGCTTCATTTCCTTTCTCTCATTCTTTCGACAGAATGAGTTACTCTGGAGGAAACTGTCCACAGATCATGCTCAAGTGCACACATTCCACACGGTGTGGACCAGACCAAATCTACAAACCAAATGGCTTTCCCATCTTTAGAACGAATTTTATATGCTACAAAAGCAAAAATGTTTAAGTCAGGTGAGCAATGCCCTAGATTAAACCAAGAACAGGAGAAAGAAGAGAAGACAAGAAGGTGTCAAGGGGGAGAGAGAAAGAGAGGAGAAAGAACCCAAACTCTTTGTCACAGGAAATGACAGAGTCAGCTAGGTAACTGACTAGTGCTCTCATGGTCCAAATCATCAATCTTAATTCGGGGGCATAAATTTAAAAAGCAAGGAACTGCTGTTAAGTTACATATTCTCGAAGACATGACAGATCTTTCAGTAGAGAAAGGAAAACTCTTAGTTTCCCAACTCTATTCATGGGCCAAAAGAATATCTTCTTACCATATAGGACCCAAAATGAGATGCTGGTAGAACACCACAAAACTGTCTTGTTTTGGGACAAATCCTTTGACAGAAACAAAACAGTTATACATTTTCAAGGCATCCTTTATATCTTTTTTAATGTGGCTACTACACAATCTAAAATTACTTATGTGGCTCACATTATATTTTTATTGGACAGTATGGATTTTCACAGGGGCAATGGAAATGATTTACATCGAGTCCGTCTCTATTTCCTGCCTCCTCTGCATTCCCACGGCTACAACTCTTACCACACACAAAAGCTTGAGGAGGACAAGCTGTAAAATGTTTGGTAACAATGAATACGGTTTGCTGAATTGAGAAATTGTGCAGGAAGTGATGATCTGACCATAAAACCACCTCCTTTCTACCTTGGTGGAAAAGATGGAAGGTTCCGGAGCTTGTTCCCCTCAGTAGCTCTTGATCAGCAAGTCTACACCCAGCCCATGCAGCAAGATCCCATCTGCATGCACCACATGTCATGAATGTCCTTCCTTCTCCAGGGCGGCATTCGGACACCCGGTAAGCAGTGGCGTTTCTTGAGCACTCCTCCTCAGCTGTTTGGGGGCTGTCTTAAGACAGATCAGGCTTAAGGCACCTCACCTACCACCTCTGAGCACAGCGAAGGTGTGAGTGAAATATACTGCCGGCCTTTGGGAAGAAAGGAAGCTGAGGGCTTATCACAGGCCATGTGAAACCCACTTGACCGCAAGAGAACTTGACATTTCCCAATCTCTGCTACAGAAGCCTAAAATAGATGGGCTTATTTTAACTTCAAAGAGCTGGCTGTCTCAGGCCAAAGTGAAGTAGGTCACTGAGGAGGAGCAGGAAGAGCGAGTTCACCATTGCTGCAGAGTCTGCAGCTTCCATCAGCTCAGGGACATCACTGCGCACTCAAGCCCCGGCCATGCTCAGAGCACCCGCGCTTCCTTCCCACCCCAGGGGCACCTGCAGACACCTTCTCCCACTCCTTGCCTTCCAAAAGCTTAGCCAAGTGTTAACGCGTTCAGATCTCATCCTCTACTCACAGCCTTCTGGTTTTCACAGCCTCAAATGATCCTTCAGTCTTCTCAGGGATCCCTCCACTATTCAGGAGGAACCTATGTAGCTTTGTGCTTTGTAGCTTTATTTTAATTTTCACCTGGCCATACGGGGCTGTCAGCTCCTGAGGCTTCTTTGCCTCTTCCAAAAGGACCAACAAGAGGTAAGCGTTAAAGTTATTCTTGAACTAATGATTTCAAGCCCCTTTTAAATAAAGTTTGTGGGTAACAGGGATAAATTATTTGAGGGACCCAGTTTTCTTTCACTTCAAGATCTCATTCTTGAAATCCCAATTTCACACATACACTTTTTAATATCCAATTATATTTGAGAACTTTACAAATGGCTGAGGATTAAATGTCCTTAGTCATTATCTTTAACATCGTGTATGTCTCAAAATAGAGAATTCAAATGGCTGTTCCAATTTAACCTATGAAGACACAGAAGGACCATATAAAATAGCGTCAGAACTTCACCTCAAGTCCTAGGTGCACATCTCCTTTTTATGTAAGTTTCTTAATGCATAAAGATCACATTCATAATTTCTCTCTTCTACAGATGCTTAAGTTGTTTTAGAACTAGAAGGGGTGATCATCTGGTTGGAAGTATTTTTTTTTTTCTTTTTTGTCTGGAGAGTTTTGATCCTAGAAGTTGGCCAGTGGATAAGTCACAGGTGTCCACCTTGCCTCCAGCCAGCAAGAACATTTGCAATCAGAGGGTCACGCAGCAGGAAAGTCACCATCAGCTTTGAAAGTGTGCACTAACTGGTCAAAAGCTGGTCATCATTACATTAGTAATTTAACAACTCATCAACACTTTTGCATAAGAAATGCTTGCCAGTATTGATAACAATGTATTACTTAATTTTATTTAAACTTGTAACATATTTTGCTGTCCATTCTCAATAAAAGGCATACCTGCTCACTGTGAAACACACTTACAATGCTGAAGTAAGGATTCACTGACCACAACTATGTCCTTATTTTGTGTATACTTGGGTTTTAAATCTCAGCATAGGACATTTAAGTCCATATTTTATATGCAAATTATGAACTGCGAAGGGTCAATTAATGTGTTTCATTATAAAGGCTTTATTAACACTGTAAAGTCAGACTTCATTTAAGAAGGTTTTAAACCGAAGTAAAAGTACACCCTTCAAAATTTGGCAACTTGCTTGCTGATGCATTATGGATGCGGTGTAGTTACCAGTTTCATAACATGTCAAGACTACCTTTGATCAAGGGCAGCTGCTGTGACAGACTTGAAGTGTGTACCCTCACGGCAAGAGACTGCTCACGCTTCAGAGTGGTGATTAGTTAAGTTATGCATGCTGCCTATCTGATACACTTCAAGCGTGAGGTTAGTTAGAACGCTTTTTCCTCACAGGGAAAATGTTACCTTCTTCTTGAGTGACTGTTCCACTTCTTGGATGTGCAGGCTGCTGCTGACAGATGCCTTGCCATACTCCTGCTTTCTGGAAAGTCTGTTTTTCCAGTCTTCCTCACCACTCTTCTTCAACAGTGCTAATCTAAGGGGAAAACAGGCCAACCAAAAAGAGTTCAGCACCAAACTCTTACTTGTAACAGAACCATAACTTAGGTAAGTTACAACTTTTTGGCCAATAAATGACCACAGCTACCTAATTTTAATCTTTTTGAATTTCATTTACTCTGAAAAAAGTATCTCTGGAAAAATAATATAGGAGTCCCTTTTCTAAGATGGCCCCAAAGATCTTACGTTGATTGAAATGCAAAGCTGAAATCTGACTTGCCAGATAAAAGATGCATCATCATTCCACCATAGGAATCTATTTTTCCCTGGCCCTGGGGCTGAGAGCAGGAAGGAGGAATCACCCCCAGAGAACAATGTCTTCTACTGACCCCTTCTGGTCACTTGGTGAAATAATATTTAATGATTATAGCTGGATAGTACTTATTTGCAGAAAATATAACAGAAATGAGTTTAAAAACTTAAAGCTATAAAAAACTGACAATCTCTTAATATTATACCTTTAAATAAAGGCAAAAGATGACGTTTAATATTGTTTATCTTCCTGTGTCCTAAGCCCTGTTCTTTTCTTCCAGATGAACTTGGTCTTTCCAATCTATCCTCTTAATACAGAAACTATTATCTACAAACCCATTTTAAAAAATTATTACTTCAGCTTCCCTCAGGGGAAAGCTATCTACAAAAAAAGAATCTAATTAATGGAGATTTTTACCTAACCTACTTTAGTTCAGCTGTGGTGTGACTTGATATAAAGTTGTTTGGATATTATCTGTGAAAGGCGATTTTTGTGAACATGAGGCTGTTTCAGCTAACTCTATTATAACGAGTGAAGAAATCTTAGGCATGTAAGTTGGACAAACAGACAAAAGATAAAACGTAAAAAAACCGTGATCATTAAACTCATTTGAGTTGAAGCTCAAACAATTTAAAGATTAGGAAAAAAATGATTACAGCCCTTTCCCTCTGTGCTGAGCCTGCTGGGCCGGGTCTTTTAAACATCATTAATGCAGGTCCATAAACAGTGTATTTTTAAGCAGCACATCAGCTCTAGTTTGGCTGTTAACTCCAGTCAAGTGGCCTGGTCTCCTCTCCTCACTGGTCATATTGGGAACTGAACTAAGGGCCCTTCTAATAAGTTTCCTGACTCGATTAAATATCTGAATTGGAGATGGGATGAAATATAGCATACTGCCTAAAGAAGAATCCACTTACATTGACGAATTTATACATAATCATACCTTAGATTTATCTATTCGTTCAGTCAAATAAAGGAAAGAAAGCCACGAAGAAAAGAACTCCCCAAAGGGGACAGGATCTTTGAACTCTGAACCTATCCCCTCCCCCCACCTCTTTTCCTTCCCTTTCTTTCTGCTATGTGACAGCAGATAAGACCTCAAATGCCCATTCTATAAAACTAGTATAATGCCACCTTATCTATCTGTGATATGCTGATTTTTAATAAGAAACATATATTTGGTCTTCACTCCCTTTCTTGGCACAGTGCTCCTAAAACCCTTGGAATTTCCAAAGTGATGAGAGCGATAAAGGTGTCTTGTTATATTAATGAGGTGACTTTTGGGAAGCACTTAAGGATGGGAGCTGGTTGCCAGGGGAGCTAACCATGTGATTAGAGGATTGGCACTTTCAGTCCCGCCCCCTGACCTCTGGGGAAGGGAGACAAGCTGGAGATTGATTACATTATTGGCCACTGGTGATTGGACTTAATCACGCCTATGTAATGAAGCCCCCATAAAACACCCCAAAGGACAGGGTTCAGAGAGCTCCTGGGTTGGTGGACACATGATGTGGGGAGAGGGGTGTGCTCAGAGAGGGCACAGAAGCTCCACGTCCTTCCCCCATACCTTGCCCTATGCATCTCTTCCATCTGGCTGTTCCTGAGTTATATCCTTTTACAATAAACTGGAGATCCAATAAGTAAAATGTTTCTCTGAGTTCTGTGAGCTACTCTAGCAAATTAATCAAACCCGAGGAGGGGGTTGTTGGAATCTCCAATCTATAGCTAGTAGATCAGAAGCACAGGTGACAACCTGGACTTGCAACTGGCATCTGAAGGGGGGAAGGGCAGTCTCGTAGGGCTGAACCTTTACCTGTGGGATCTGATGCTGTCCCCAGGTGGATAGTGCTAGAATTGAGTTGAACTGTAGGACACCCAGCTGGTGTCAGAGAATTGCTTGGTGGTGTGGGAAAAAACCCACATTAGAAATTAGAGTCAGAATCTTACTATCTACAACAGGCCCCATTTGGCTCAACGTCCCATTTAGCTCTAAATTTTATAATCTATGATGTTTGACAATACTCTGCATGCTACAAGGGCTAGTTCATGTACTTGAAAACAAATTCTAAATTCCTTTAAGTGTTTTCATATGAATGTCAGAATGACTAAGAGTTATCTCTTATCCAATTATTCTGAATGAGTCAGTTTTATTCTAGTAAGAAAAATAATCTAATAAAATCAAATCACGAAAAGAAATAATTAGTATTTCCATGTGTAGAAGAGCTTTCAAAGGATTCAAAGTGTCTATAAATGAGACATTCAAAAAGTAAGCACACCAGTATTTTTACACCCAAATGAAGATGTACTTCCAATTCATCATCTTGTGACGAGACGTTCATCTCGTTGATGTTTCCTTGCAAACTGGTCTCAGAACCAGCTCTGTCTCTTACTTCACCTTTGACCCAGACCAGTAGTTATTCATTTTGCCCATCTACCTTTTTAGTCAGACTGGATTCCAAATGATTTGAGAGAAGTAAAAAAAATCAAATTCATCCTCATTAAATGGATTTATTAAAAATAATGCACTACAGTCTTTGAGGATGTTCTCAAAAAGAAGCTGCCAAATGTTTGGAGCAATGACATTATGTAAATAATCATACGGTTGCCCTGGCGGATGCTTTAAGGAACGTAAAACTGACTCAGAAAGCAACAAACGTAGAATCTGTAATCACTTTATAGTCCAACTTATACTCTGCTGATCTGTACAGCAACCTGAGAAACTGGATATTGTCATTCCCAATGTGACAGACAAGGCACGGGTGCACCCACAGGCCAAGGATTTCATTGACGGAGGTCCCACTGCATGTCAGTGGGATAGGAGATATGGTCCCCACACAGGCACACCCTGCCTCGCAGCGCATGGCTTGTCTTACTACATTAGTGTGTTAGCTGACCAGACACATTTTTGCCCTAACATTTTAGGAACTGCAAAGTATTCTGGCTTCTTAGCTTTTTTCCACCACCCTGGAATGGCCTTCAAAGAATTCCTCCATTCCAAAAACCTGAAATCTTACTTCTGGATGTGTTGGCAGGGTCATCATCAGGGACTTCCAAAGACTACAGAGTAACCAAAATAATATGGAAGGAACTGTGCTTCAATTGAGTCCACATGGTCCTTGGCCCCAGCCCTAGCCTCTAGAGTGCAAATGATGGATAACTTAAAAATACATGCACTGGAACTTAAACGTATTATTCCTGTCCTGTTAGATTTCCTACTTGGTGCTCAACAAGCTGAGGAGGTCAGACCTTTCCACGTGCATTCTCTCCTTCTGCAGTCTCACGACCCTCCTGACTCCCTGCAGACGGCCCTGTGCTGGGGAGCGCCAGCATCAAAGCGTCTGGTCCTATACGTGACACAAATTACTCCTATGCAATTCAAACAACTGTCGACATTTGGAACATCGGCCAAGTCCCCGTGCTATCTGCAGGGCTGTGCTGTTGTGAACCTGGGCATCTGCTTGGTCTGAGGCTGAGAACTCAGTGAGTGGCATGGCCTTAGCCTATTAGCCCCAAGGCCTGGCCCGGGGCCACCGTGCCGTGTGCTTGCCAGGCTGCCGGGGGGAACGTCCACCCCTCCTGCCATAGCCCACACTTCTTCAGCAGGGGATACTGGCCTGAGAGGGCCGCGTCAGCGCCACCGATCTGAGAGCCCTGCCTGATTAGAACAAGTTCTGCAGGCTCATAGCAGTCACGGCCGGGTCAAATACGGGACAGGCAGACCACGTGCTCCTCATCTTCACTGTTTTTTTCCTTCCCTCTTCTCATTTCAGAGAATCACTGGCACCACACTGATCTCAGACTGGGCTGAGCAGCACCGATTAGTATTTATATCAGATACTGGCCTTCACTAGTTTGCAGGCTGGGAGGGTGAACTAACATGTCTTTTCAATGTGGACAAATAAAAGATCAGAAAAAGAGGCTGCAAAGGGAAGTGACATTTCTCTCCCTAATTCTTACATGAATCTGGTGGCCCCTCCGGTGGCTGAAATCTCCTAGCTCCAAGGTAGAAACCTCAAGTCTGTCGGGGAAGCATGGACACAGCCTCTGGCTGGATGGAGAGCAGAAGAGTGAATGGAGAGGCTGCAGGGAGCGAGGGAGGACCCTAGTGGCCCCTAAAAGGCAGAAGTCTGCAGGCTGCCAAGAGGCTGGGGGCGGATTCTTCAACATTTCCAGGGAGTTCAACTAAGTCCTTACACTCCATCAATTTCCCAGTGAAAGGATGGCTTTTTTCCCTTTTTTAGTAATCTTCTCCCCCAAATATGAAAGCACAAGATTCAGTTGTTTTAGTAACTGTGGAAATTCGATTTCCAAAAGCCTAGTAAACTTTTAAAGAGATACCAAAGTTTTATTCCTAAATAACAGAAAATTCATTTGATTTACAACGCTTTTCAAAGAAGTACCCAAACAGGGATAATTTAAACTCAAATCATTTAGGCAGTTACGAAACAGTGATGTCACTAATCCAGTGGAAAAAGCAGATTGTATCCTAAGTTTTATGCCAGTTATGGTTCAAACTTGACATTCTAGATGTCAGAAAAGATGAAAAAAGAAAAGAACTTTTAGATATGTTTCCTCGAGCAGCAAACATATTCTAAAAGAGGAACATATTGAGGATTTCCCGTAATTTCTTAGTTGCTACACTTTTCTAAGTCTTAGCTTACATGTACGAAATGGGGATAATATTGCTTCCTCCTAAGGGCTGTCTTCAGCACTAAATGAGGTAACACACGAGAAATGCCGAGGGCAACACAGGACGCTTGTGGTCCTCAGGATGGAGGACTCAACAGCTCAAGTCCTGAGCAGGAGACAGACAGACGCAGAAGCCTGGGGAAGGCAGAATCGCATCCTCAGGGCTGCAGCTATTTAGAAGAAATGATGAAGGTAATCTGCAAAGTCCAGTCTCTAGTTCTTAATCTGAAATGTGAAAGTGAAATTTGAAACAAGCCACATAAAGAACACGTAAATTGAGAAAATTAACACAGGAGTAGGGCAAAATCTTTCTAACACTACTATTTAGCTAAACTTTCTGCCCTCTTATCAATTTTTCCTGATGAGAACTAATGTCAGCTGCTAAAACACTAATGTGAACACTGCAATCTGGCCACACGTGCCAAGGGGAAGAGGTGGAGACCAGCTGCTGGATCGGTTCTACTCTCCACATGGCCCTAGTGACCACTGGAACTGAACCCCTCCTTTGCTAAAAATGAGGTAGTCAGAGGAGGTTAGAATAAGGTTTAAAAGTTCTATTTTCCGTGTCACCGCAAAGGGAAATGTAAACCCCAAATATAGTTGGCCCTCTCTATCCACGGTTCCCATCCACAGACTCAACCAACTGCGGGTGGAAAGGCTTAGGGTCCTTGTGTCTGCACTGAACGTGTATAGACTTCCTTTTTCTTGTCATTATTCCCTAAACAATACAGCATAACAACTATTTACATGGCACTTATATTGTACTAGGCGTTATAAGTCATCTAGAGATGATTTAAAGTCTACAGGAGGATGTGCGTAGGTTACATGCAAATACTATGCCATTTTACATAAGGGACTTGAGCATCTGAAGGGGTCCTGGAACCAGTCCCCCTCAGATACCTAGGGACAGGACAACTGCAAGGATATGAACAGCATTCTTATGTTAAATAGGCCAAGTTTCATTATCTCATTTTAATAAAAGAGAGAGATTGTGAGCCCCACTTAGGGAAAAGCTATCACAGATGGATTGTAAATATACGTAGTTTTATTTCAGCAAAGCACAAATAAAAGTATTATTAAGATAAGAGGGAAAGATCACTGGCAATATATTTTGTATGAACATAATTTATCACAAACAGAGCTGCTAAATAAAGTGCCCTCCTCCTTTTTTAACAGTATATTTTAATAATTAAACTCAATAGCTCAACAGTTAACAAGCCTTCCTGACTATCACGGCTCTGAACAGACTGTGCTCAGGAGCCTCCTGGAGGCTGTGAGAAGTTCTGTCTCCCACCAGCCAGAAGGTGCGTGTGCCCACACCGTCGATTCTGAACACGCTTCTGGGCAGTTCACAGAAACCATACAGCTATCCTTGAACTCAAATGTCCACAAAGCCTGGGTTAAGAAGCTGTGCCTTTATAGCATCTCACATTTTTTAAAAATGACAATTTTACAGTAAAATTTAAATTGCTTTCAGGAAGATAAAAAACTAAAATTTACTAAAAATAGGCAAGTAAATCAAGAATTATTGCACAGTAGGTAGACACAAAACTTCTTCATCAAAAGTCCTAAGTCCCAACAGACAGAATACACCCAAAGATGGGGAATCTCCTTTAAAAAGTTTTCAAAGAAGAGGGTATATTAGTGTTTTCCACTGGAATTTTACCCCAGGAATATTTTCTGATGTACAAAACATCAGAACTTGTGTGTATAAGTGATATTTATCATTAATTCCCTTAAATAATATCTCTTCCTTGGCACCTACCCAGTTATCAAAAGTTGGATCTCTGGGCTCAAACTCTCGTTCAGCCACGCTTCTGTGGAGAAGGACTTCATGCCAGCACAGGTCAAACTGCTTCCCTGATTTAAGACATCTCTCTTGTATTTAGTTAACCCTTCGGTCCTTCACCTATGCTTCAGTCTAGTAGGTCTAATTTATTGTGAATTTTAAATAAGAAAAGGCAAAAGAAAATATGCTATAACAGTCTTATTAATTTGTCAGTTGAAAAAGGCTCCATCTATTCAATATTTTATGAATAATGTTCAAAATCTTGGCTTGGAAAACAGAATGAAGAATTTGCATCGTGATTTCACAATATAGTCTTAAGTAGTTTGAAATGTACCTAGACAAACAAGAGTGGCCGGTGCCTGACAGAGCAAGAAAACTTCTGAATAGTGGGAGGTGCTAAGGAAGGGTCCAGGTGGGTAGAACCGTAAAGAACAGATGGGGAAATAGTTCTGCCAATCATACCAGGAAATCGACGAGACCTTTCTTCATCCAGTATTCCTATCACTGTTACATATTTTGCTGCTTAATTCCACAGTGGCTAAAGGTTAACGAGGAAAACACAGCCTGAAATCTTTAGCTCCGATTCTTTGTATCTGTCCCATTTAAATATATCCTCTCAATCCTCCATCATTCTTCTGAATGAAATGAGGTTACAGGGTAATTTGATACTTAAATGTAATCTTTCATAGCTATTACCTGATATAAAATTTCTAAACACAGTTCAGAAAGTCATCCATTTTACTTTCTGTAAAATAAACAAAACCTAGATTCTAATCCCAAAGATTTATATCCTAAATATGAATTTATCTTCATTCCCTCCATGTATAATTTACATAGACAAATAGTCACAAGCAATGTGTGTGCACTTAATTTGAAGCCATGTGTATCTGAAAGTCAAAGAGCCAAGTTCTCTGCTCCCATCACTGGATAGTCAAAGAATTTAATATAAAAAAGAAAACGGAACCACAAATAAATGAAGCAAGCAAAAGTCTGTTTCTGTTTATTTCCTCGTCTGAGTCAGGAACCGGCGTCTTCCGGCACTACCAAACCCGGCACTGGGGTGAATGCACTTCACTCAAATAACTTGACCTCTCCAAAGAATTTTAGTATAGCAGCACATCCCCTTATGTAGTTGGAATCATGATTTCATCTCTTTGCCCATTACCAGATCTTTTTCTAAAAGCAAGTTGTAAGCTCTTTCCTAATAGAATTACTTTTCAATCATTAAATCTTATTACCTTTCTTTAATGGACATGGTTTTGCTGGGCGAATCAAGGATGCCCTCCACCGTGGGTGCTTTGATCTCTCCAGTGGCAAACATCGCACATGGATTCTTAAAGAGTTTCTCCTGTGGCTGTTCTGAAGGATCTTGCTGCTTCCAGGACACTGGGGTTGCCGTCTGAACAACAGTTTTCTCGGCAGCTGTGCCTGTCTGCTCAGAAATGGGCTCCCCGAATTCTGCTGCTGGGAAGGAAAGGAGCAACGTCAGCAGCAGTCAGCACTTAGTCCTCCAGGCGAACATTCTTCCAGCTCTTTGCCCCTCAACCGTCCTGCACTCGGAGTTCAATCCGTGGGCGTGTGGTGGGCCACCCAATCCACTTGGATTTATGTCAGTCGGGGGCACGCTATATTCTGTGAGAAAACCAAACTTCCCAGTGGATTCCTCCACACAGCAAGTCGTTTTGTGACAATTGGTCTCTTCTTCTGTGCAAGACACAGGAAGTCAGCTTTAACTATACACCACAGAATGTTTCTGCTCCTCTAAAACAATACTTTCACATTTCAAATGTGCCATACTCACAAACCAAAACCACTATTATAACATACACACTATCATTTTATGTAAATGTAGGAAGAGAACTAAAGTCCTATGCTGCATAGCTGGCTAGTCTGCATAAACGGAATGTAGAAAGAGAGTCTGGAAATCCACAGACCAAGTTCAGGTCCTTATTCCCTGTGCTTAACCAGCCCTGGACTTTTGGGATCATCAATTTATCAGAGGCCAAGAGAGCTAGCAGTTCATAAGGCTGTCATGTGAATTAATGACCAAAGTCATCCAAAACCTTATCAAGATGTGTGAAAGAGCGTCAGGTATTTTATTGCTGAGAAATTGATTAATCCACTGAACAAGTCAGATTCACGGGGAAGAGAAGTCTAGGGGAGAGTCGGACTCACGCTGGATTTTTAATCAATACTAGTTACAAACTGCTTTCATAATTGGTTACAAGCAGTCACAAACACATGCAACCAATCAAGCAGAAACTAAAATCCCAGTTGGGATCTAAAACAGCAGCAGCAGTAACTTACCCCTTAGGGAAAATTTCCTTTTTGTGACATTCTCCATGTTCACTGTCTCTTCAAAGGGCTGCCTGTCCTTCGAATCGGGGCTCCCCTGTACAGAGCTTTTAGCAGCAGGAAACTCCTTCAGTTCCTCACCAAGATGAGCGAGGGGAGGATTAGCTAGTTCCAGGCTTCCCTTTCTCAGAATAGCATACTTGGGTTCTTTATGGCTGTCTCCTTCCCGGACTCTGTTAAGGATGGGGTAGGATGGCTCTGCTTCCTCAAAGGACCCGTACTTTTTAACACCACCATCTACAGCTGTCGAGCCTCTCTTGCTTTCTGTCTCTCCAAATTCTCTCAACATTCCTTTGTTCCCACTACCCTCTACCGAAGGCTGCCAGGCTTGGGATTTCAGGATGCTTCTAACTGGAGAGTCTGAATTTTCTATTGAAGAAGGAAACCTATAGTCAATGGCACTTGTGTTGTCATCCACAGATGGCTTTGTCCGAAGATTCCCGGCATACATTGGAGTGACTATGGATGCCATGGTGGACACCGATGTGTTAACAGTAGGTGAAAAAGGTATGAGCTTTCCACTTTGCACCTGGGAGGGCACAATTAAAACGTAAAAAGGTGATTGAAAAATACTATCTACAGAAATCCCAGTGTATGGATTGACAAAGACTGAAATACTACATTGGGTGCACTTTCACTGCTTATCTTAGTGGAAAAGCAATCCCATAGTTATAGAAAGCATCTCATGAATCAAAATCATCTGGGTGAAAAGTAGACTGTGCATCATATTTTTCTCTCCAAAATGGACTCACCCCAGATGGTTTCAGTAAGCAAATTATGAAAACAAGAAAAGAGAAACATACTTGGCCTGATTATCTTTCTTAGGAATGAAGTTATTACCAGGTCACCTACAGGTTAACACAGTTCACAGGTAGATCACCTTTAACCTAAGAGTAACACTTCGCTCCTATATTTTATGAACATACCCACAAACTGGAATTAGATGACAGTGCACCCACCTGCTCGACCTCTCCGAGCGTGACCGGCTGAGTTTGATAGCGAGCATTCATTCTCCTCTGTCTCATGTCTATTCTGTTTCGGGTAGAAATAGCTTTTGAGACTGGCTGGGACAATTTGTTAAACAAGGCCAGCTTCTCGGCTAAGCTGAGAGTGGAGGAATCAGGTTCACCTTGTTCAGTAGAATCTCTGCCCTCATTTGCCTGGTCTCTGGCTAAAGTCTTTTGGTGAGCAGATGCCTGTAATCTGAAGGGATGAAAAGTCGGTAACAGATAAAAACAAACAAAAGCCCATGGCTAATTTTGTATATTAACTTTCTTCAAAGTGTCACTTAATTCTGAAAAGGGCTTACTTCTCCCTACAGGAATTTAAGACAGGTGCAGGCAGCTGTTTATTAACAAGACAGTGAAGAGCAGAGTAGGCTGGGGACGTAGCTTGATCAATTTCACAAAAAGCAGATTTTTAGCTCTAAATTATTTCTAAAAATTGAATTTCCTATTTAAGGAATTGAAACTGGCTTGGATACACCTTATCTTAGAGAGAGAAGTTGTATTGTTAGTATCAACAATAAGTAAGGCTAAAGGGAGTCCTTCGGCATTATCTAAATATGTGGCTCAGAGGTGATCTTTTCATTGTAAATAATTAGGAAATGATATAGTCATTCTGTCAACAACATCATCTACAACACACAGTTTTGATTTTCACTGGCTAAACACAAATGGTTTCATTTGAAAGATCCTTTCACTCCTTCAGCCTAGCCTTTTCTCTCCTAGTTTCTACCAGTTTTCTAAAAGGTGCTTAAATCTGTAATTCCCAGTAACCTGACAAGTGAAGAAAATGTCAGGGTCCTGATAAATCCCTCCTACTTCCAGGTAGAGGAGAAGGCTCCCAGGTACCTGGTCACTGGGAATCTTGGGAGGTTTAAGACAATGTACCTTGTGCCACTGGCAAATCCAATAAAAAGTATATTCTGCCTTGACTCCAATTAATCACCACTTCACAAGTTGCCCCAGACAAAAGAGCAGTGTCAGTGTCCCAGGTATAATGAGGATGGTAAGACAGGCGACCTGAATCTCAGAGTGTTTCCTGAGGTCTCGCAGCCCAGGGGGAAGACAACGGCACCCTACTGCCCTGGAGAGATCCCTGCTTCTGGGCTGTGCCAGCTTTCTTTCTGCACTGTCATTTTACTTCTTTTAATCTTATTTTTAGCCTTTGTGTTTTGGCCCATAACAGTCAAATAGAGGGGACATTTACAGGCTTTAAGAACATAATTTTGAAACCCAATAGTAAAACATCTAAGTTCAGACACTCTAAATTGTTACTGTCCCAATCCCCAAACATAACAGCATTGTGTCTCTATACATTAAAAACAGGTAGGATTGTTTTTTCGTTTTTGTTTTTTTTTAATGCTATTGATTTTTATTTATTTTTTTATTTTTATTTTTTTGGTGAGGAAGATTTGCTCTGAGCTACCATCCATTGGCAATCTTCCTCTTTTTTCTTGCTTGAGGAAGATAAGCCCTGAGCTAACACCTGTGCCAATTTTCCTCTATTTTGTATGTGGGACACTGCCATAGCATGGCTGATGAGTGGAGTAGGTCTGAGCCCAGGATCCGAACCTGTGAACCCAGGCCGCCAAGGCAGAGTGTGTGGAACTTGAACCACTCGGCCACGGGGCTGGGCCCCGGTAGGATTGTTTTTAACATGTATTTGTGTCTACAAGTGTTTAAAAAAAATCTAGATATTATCAGAATTTTAATATGCATGTTAACTCCCCATTTTTCTATTAATCTTTATTAATTGCTAGTATTTTAGACGAAGAATGACATTTTTTTCGGGATGACCATGATTATGAAAAACAGAAACAGAACAAACGGATAAGCCGAGTTAGTGTGATCCTAGTTCCAACACATAACGTAAGCAGGTAGACGAGATGTTTTCTCATGCAGGCCTACATGATGTCTTGCACTATGACAAAACAAAACGCCGTACATTCCCGGAACCACTCATTGCACTGGCTTGTTTGTCAAGCGAACAAAAGGCATTCGAGATTTGAAGATGCATCAGCTGTCTGGCACCTTTGTTCTCAGTGCCATATGCAGCTGTTTCTGTCCAGTACCTGGCAGGCTGTACAGGGCTCTTAGCTACAGTGGGATTAGGAAGTCTCGTCATTACGGGGTGGGTGGCCACAGAGCAGGAAGCAGAGATAGGTTCACTTTAAAAGCAATTGCCAAAGAAGGAACATTCATAAAGAGAGAGAAGAAAAGAGGCATTAAGGAAAGCATCGTTTTCAATTCTGAAACGTTAAATCAAATATTTATCAAAATTATTTGCTAATTACTTTAGGAAAATCACAAAAGAACTTGAAAAGCAATTACAAACTTAGGAAATAAGCGACAGAGGCTACCCAAATAAATGGAATAAGAATAGGTTTTGAGAGCTTGGGAAGGATTTATCCCATCTTTAGAATAAATATCCTGGTTTAAAAACGTAACTTGAAAAAAAGCTAATATCAATCACTAGCAAATCAGTAGATTATATCCATGTTTTAGAGTATTGCTCTCAATCTATTTTTTAAAAGAAACAGTGTCCTCATATAATCTATAAGCACATCAAAGTAGATTCAGCGAGCCTGATAAGGTGCTAATTTTTGCTTATATTTACTGTTTCACTCCCATGAGTAGTTGCTTCTTATTTTACAACAGCCATTTAAATAATAAAAAAAAAACTGTTTTGCTAGGATTTCCTAATGAATACAAGATGTACTTATCCACAAATATACCAAGACGTTGAGGAACAACTGGGGGAAGGAAGTGAAGGCAGCTGATCTAACAGCAGGTGTGGGCTATGACACGGAGGCCTCTTAGGATGTCAATGCTCTGAATGAGATGAACTTCATTTTTTCAGGGAGTGTGTGTGTGTGTGTCCAGGGGCGGCACAAAAATAATTTTTAAAAAACTAATAAAAGTTTTCACTTGATTGAAGCAATGATCTCTGAATGAATTACTTCTGGAAATTCATTCTGAACATATTGGAACATACTGCTCAAAACTGACTTCCCACAGTTTGGAAAGTAATCAAACTTCCAATTAATTAAAAAAATTTTGGGTGATTATTTAAAAACAAATAAAAAGAACCCTTATCTTTATGAGATATGTACTGAAATATTTATGGATGAAATGATCTCTGGAGTTTGCTTGAAAATAATGCAGGAGGAGAGGGGAAGTAGGTGGGGATACAGGTAGAGCAAGACTGGCCAGGAGTTGACAATTGTTGAAACTGGGTGATGAGTACATGAGGGTTCATTATATTACTCCATCTGCTCTCATGTTTTAAATTTTTCATTCTAAGAGATTAAAAAAATGCACGGAAAAAAAAAAATTTTTAAAATCCCTCTTTACGTTTTTCTAGGAGATACAACAGGTAATATATCCCATTACAAAGTTCAGGGAGACCGCAGTAAGGAAAATCCCTAAATACCACCAACTTAAATACCACCAACTTCTCTGTGGCTTCTAACTAAACTATCTCCCAATCTACCTCGTTTTTATTTAAAAGTCTTTAAATCTTTTTTTAAAAAGAAAACATTAGAGCCAAGGCCAACAGGTCACAAGGGAGACTCACGTGGCCGCAATGACCACCTCCTCGGTGGTGACGGGCTGGGTGTGGGACCTGTCCTGCAGACGCCGCAGCCTCTGCTCCACAGCCGCATTTCTTGAGCGTCGCTTCGGAACACTTTTCTCATCAAATGACTTCTCCATTTCCTAAGATCAGAAACATTGTGGAATCCTTATAAATCCAAGGAAAGGAAATTTGGGCAGCAGAATGTCTCTACTCTGCTCCCCTCCAGCACCTACAGGAGGGATGCCCCTGAGAGGCGCAAATCATTATCAGCAGGTGCATTCGTGCTGTGTCAGCTGCTGGGCACACCAGCCGAGGGCTCGGAGGGAACCACAGGTGGGCAGGAGTGAGGTGGGCTGCAGGGGCCCATGTGTGGGAACCAGGCTGGAGCAGTGGGAGCCCTCCTCAGGGGGTGATGGTTTTCCCCCAAGCATTTCAGCACACTTTACCCTGAAAAGCAGCCTCTTGGCAGCCACACTCAGCTTGGCTCGTTCATCTACGTTTTCTTCATCTGTAAAAAGCCACAAAATAAAAACTGAACATCATTAGAAAACGTGGGTAAAGTTAAGTTCCCAAGTCTGACACGGAAATCCTTCGAATAGAAGAAAAGATATACTAAAAATTACAATTGGCAATACTTTCCCCTTGTGGGGAACCTATTCTTCTGTTCAGTTAAAAGGTGCCAAGTTCCATTGCAATTAAAACACAACCAAACAAAACTCTGTCTGGACAGTAATTTTCTACTATAATAGTTAACGAATTGAGATTTAAAAATAGATTTTATGGAGCCAGCCCTGATGAACTAGTGGTTAAAGTTCAGCACGCTCCACTTGAGCAGCCCAGGTCTGGTTCCTGGGCATGGAACCATACCACTCCTCTGTCAGTAGCCATGTTGTGGTGGCGGCTCACAGAGAAGAACTAGAAGGATCTACAACTAGAATATACAACTATGTACTGGAACTTTGAGGAGGGCAAAAAAAGAGAGACAGAAAGATTGGCAACAGATGTTAGCTCAGGGCAACTCTTTCCCAGCAAATAAAAATAAAAATAAAAATAAAAATAAAAATAGATTTTATGGAAGGAATTTCTCTTCTTAATTGTTAAATAGCAACAGTAACAACAAAAATCTGCTTCTTCAGTTCAAATCAGTTGTTTTAATATTGCTCACTCTGCAATTCTCTAACTCGCTCAAAAATAAGGGAAAGCTCATCCAAAAATCTCAACTAGGTTTTATTATGTTCACAGAAGGAAAACCTGCAGTAAAGTAAGAAATTGATATGCACCATAATCTCATTCTTTTAAAAAGCAAAAATCTTATTATTTAAATCTGATCTGGATAAGATGATAAAGAAGAAGAAAAAGGAAAAGAGATACTTGCCCTCAGCAGTTGGCATTTCTGAAGTAGATGTAGACCTAGGAAAGACATTAGCAAATAATAATAACAAAAATTAGCTGGTGGGAGAAGATCCAAATAAAACGTCATATTAAAAGTAAAATTAAAATGCAATTATACTCTCTTAAAGAATATCCTCCTGGTAGCAGTTCTAGTTGTGAATACGCACATACAGTTGTTAATGGATGCTGGAGTACATGTGCACACAACCCAGCCAAGTGCACACCTTGTGGAGACAAACCAGGATCAAGTATGACTTATTAAACACACCTCATTAATTTTTTAGACAAACCTTATCATTTCTAGGCATAAACATATGATAATATAAAACTCAAATACAACAAGTAGGCAGACATTTATAAAATGAATATGTAAAATCTGGTGAATACTCAATTTGGATTCTAATTTAACAAGGGTATAAAAAATTAATAACATTAAATGAAGAAAAATAACGTTTCTTACTTCTGACCATCTGAATGCCATTTAAAACCATGTACTGTGATACTGTTGTCATGTAATGCATTTAAAAATACATTTATACCAGCCAAATAAATAACCCTTATAGATTAGATAGAAGAATTAGGGAATCATCACATCCCATTTAGACAGCATCAGGACCGCTGCTGTGGTAAAAATCCCGTACGATTTCTTTTACGTTCCTAGACTACGTAACTACGCACACGCATGCCTACCTATCCGATTCCTTTCGTTCTGCTGAGGTTATAGGTTGAGTTCTAAATCTCTCAGAAGTTTTTCTACTTTCACCAGGAGAAAAATAGCGTCTTGGCTTCCGGGACCCTCTCTCCCGTTCCACACTGGTAGGCAAGCCAACTCCTTCGGTTGACCTCTCAACCCGTGGTTGGCTTTTAGAATCATCGAGAGAGAGAGAGAATACAGAAGAGAAACGGGGAGACAGAGAAAGAGAACAAAGCAAAGGTTTATGCATCTCAGTGAGTCAAGGCACAGACACCGCCAATCCCACTGCATGCCTCTACCATGCACGTAAAGGACGTGGAACACTCTAGCGACCCAGTACTGAGCTCCCCATTAGTAGGCGGAAGCAGAATGGTAGTTTTGAGCCATTTCCTGTATGGTCTGCTCTGCACACACTGGTGAGCTAAGCTAATACGACTCAGTGCGGGACACAACACAGGTTGAGAAGTGAACAATTCTGCCAAGGACGTGCAAGTGACACATCGGAAGGATGTTTGAAACATCACCTACAGTTCGGGTTTCTTGCTGGCACTGGCAGATTCCAGAAATGCATTTCGGAGCTGGGCGACAGAGACCTTTGTGTCCAGCACGCCAACTTCTGTGTGCAGCCCCTCCGTTTTGGAACTCTGCGGCTCTGGCTCTCGCTTTGAAGCCGGGTCCTTACACTTCAGGGCCTGGAGCTGAGGGGGGCCGGTGTAGTCAGACAGGGAGCGGGTGAGGACCTTGTGCTTCCTCGTGGATGCTTCCTTTTTGTGACCTGTCACCCTGGCATCCTGGGACACAGGCTCGCTCTGAACATACAAAACCATTTCGCTCCTGCCCATTCTCTCAGTGGGCTGGTGCTGGGCTTGAGGTGGCTGTGGCAGACTTGCTAGTTCCTTCTGAGGTTCTAAGGTGATTGTGCTATCAGCTGGCTTACCGAAGTCCTCATTTCTAGAGGGGTCTTCGTGGCTTCTAGCGAGCCCACGATCCTCCAAAGCCAAAGGTGTTTTCTTGCTTTTCTCGAGAGCTTCGGTGAAGAGCACCTCTTCTTCTGCTTTTGATTCACAAATATGGAGAACTGGGGTATCTCTTCTCTCACCTTCTAGAACCTTCAAGGTGGGAGGCTGTAGGACATTCTGAGTGGCTGATCCCCCCCAGCTGCACTCAGATTCATTTTCTGGGGTTTCTGAGGTCACCAGCTTGGCAGTGTGAACGGGGTCTGCCGGCTGGACATAGCCACGGATCGGCTGTCGTGCGGAGCTGGCTGCCTTGCTCGAGACCCTATCAAAGGCCGAGTTTTCTGACTGAAAGGACAGGTAATGGGCTGGCTGATGTCTCCTCTGAGTTAAGGACTCTGAGGCAAGTTCAGGGCTGCTGCGAGCACTCTCCTCTTTCACCAATTTTTCTCTAACTTTAACTCTTTAAGAAAGAAAAAGGATTTAAGTTGCATGGTGAGGTAACTGGTCAATGGAAAGAAAGCATACGTGGATCACAGATTACCAGTAAATGGAAATCAACCCAAAGAGAGAAGCATTGTGAAAAAGCATTTTTGGTGGTTAATGTCAGAAACCCACTGCTTGCTAGATGAATGATTTTGAGCTGAGTTTCCGAGTGTGCATACGTTATGCCAGTGTGGTACAAAACTAACTCTACCCTCCACCAAGCCGAGAGGGGTCGGATGCTATCCTGGGAGACAATGGATGCCTTCTGACTCAATGACCACCCAGAAGCCATAGGAAAATTCACTAATAGACAGCAACAGTATGCAGGAGGGCACCCTGAGGCCGTTGCTATGAATCGGTAAGCTTTCCACACGTACTAGCCTTGTATATGGGCTGTGGGGGTAGTTTCCAGGTACATATACACCCAGTGACCAAATGTAATTTCACTGTCTCCTGGAAATGTAAGAGCATTCGTGATTATTTTTTTATTGAGCTCAAGACACAACAATCACCTCTTTTCAAGCACTCAAGTAAACATTCACAAGCTTTTTCATGCAGTGCAGATGACATTCATTCATTTGTAAGACATGTGACCAATGTGAACATCATCACCACTAACAATTGTAGCACCAAGAAGAATGTTAGAGAAAAGATATTTGTTGAGAGAATTCATGACCTGAACATTTTCTCCCCTCTGGAATTGCTATTAGGCCCTTAGTTGAAAACTAATCAAAAAGGAGATTGCTCTGTTGTTTCTAGAGCTATTTAAATATCTGAGAGCAAAACTGAAATCCATTTTAAAAGCTACAGACCTTTTTCTATTACTGCACTAGCAAAATAGCCAAAAGCTCCGGCTGTGGGGTCCCAAGAGACCTCTGATCAAAGCCTGGCTCAGCCAGTTCTAGCTGTGTGGTCTTGGGCAACTTACCGGCCTCAGTTGCTCTACTTTTTAAATGGAAATAATAGTGACAAAATGTGATGTTTGCAAAGCACATGGCTTACCACTTAGCAAAGAGTAAACATTTTAGTGCTAGCTAGTTCTTATTTTCACTTTTTGAAATACCATATGGCAAGAAAGGAGAAATCATTCAAGCTGTTTAAGAGTGGATTACTGACTCAGGATAATCTTTAAAAAGTAAAAAATGCTTTTGGAATAGGAAAAGTGATTTCTTGGAGAATGTAAACCATCCATTTTCTTGAGCTTAGTCAGCAAAAACAATTATTTATGATATATATTTTTGAAAGAGACTCTTTCCTTAAATGTCAAAGGCACCTTGCTAAATTTGATATAAACTCCTGCAAGTTTTTCAATGTAAAATGAAGGATATCTATGCATATTTCATTAAAGAAAACTCAAAGACACACATAAAAGGCAGTCATCATGAACAGTTCAGGGGAAAAAAAGCATTCTGAGTTGTTATTTTTCCCAGAGACTAGCCAGTGTTGGAGGCTTTCATATTTATAAGCTTTGTTAATCAAAAGAAGACTGAAATGCGGTTTAAGTTCTCCTGTGGAATGTGTCCTTCTAATCAGAGACAATCTGAATGTTGTCCTCAGCCAAGAACAAAGTGACTGTTAGAAACTCAATATATGGGTGCTTTGTCCTGCCAATGACTTATTCATTCTTACTGCTTCCGCCTCTCCCTGCCCCCAACCTTAAAAATGAAATGATAGAGGTTTTTGTCTGCTTTTAAAACCACATGCCCTAAATATAACTGTTGAAAATTAACTATTGGTTTAGAGATGAGGAGACATGAAAAGAAGGAGACTAGAAGTGCTGGGTGGAGGGGCGTGTGGACAAGATGGGACACCAGCTGGTTAGTCTGACTCAAAGGACAGGAACCCAGAGGGGCCAGTTCAGTCCTCACTCCCGCCCCTACCTGGCAGTAGAGTTGATGAGAAAGGAGAAAGGCAAGTGGTGTGATCAAAAGATTTTCAACAAGAGGAAAAAAGAGGAGTGAGGAGAAATACTATTAGCAGGAATTAGGGCTATTGCAGGAGAAAAGCAAATGAGGAGAAAGTAACTTTCAGCAGTCCCTTTCTGAACATGTGACTTTCAAGTGCACAGCCATTAAAAGGAGGAGAGTTAGCATCTGGCTAATGTGTGGAACAGCAAGGCAGGTCAGTGGGTAGAGAGCACTCACTCAACATAAGCCAAGGGATTCAACTTGGGATATACCTGGAAGGCCAGTTGATAAGCGAAGGTGTGTCCCCTTCGGAATCTTTCTGGAGAAACCACTCATGTTTGGGTTTCCCTGTACTATCACGTACAAAAAACACAACTTCAGATACTTTTTATTAAAATGTCAACATATACACAGATGTAATTGTAATCTAAGACCTACAGGCTGATTTTTGTTAAGTAAACAATAATTCTGGCTTTTGAAAATGTATAAGTACATTTTGCCATGGAGTTTATATTCATTTCATGGAATTTCCAGAACATTTGGCTCACTACTAAAATCAAGAGAGAGAAATAAATACGTCTAAAGCCACCAAATAAAGTGTTTTTCAAGTAATTTGAAAGTATTTAGGAGTCTGTTATAGTCACACTCTGCCCAGACAATTTTCTTGTAAGAAGTTGGATTAAAAATATAAGGCAACTTATTGTCCATAAGTTTTGTTAAGGCACATTGGTAAACAGGCAAATATAAAAAGTGTCCATGCAAAATAATACATATCAAATAAAGGAAATAAATAAAAAGAAATTCATTAAGATCATATCTTTAACTGCTATTAAACATTTTCCTTTTATATTTATCACTGAATAATGCAACCAACAGGACAATTACCAATACTACTTCAGGCTCATTCAACAAATGTTTATTGAGTTCCCACTATGTACAGTCATGCACTGCATAACAATGTTGTGGTCAACGACTGACCACATACACAACAGTGGTCCCATAAGATTAGTACCATACAGCCTAGATGCGTAGTAGGCTGCACCATCTAGATTTGTGTAATGATGTTTGCTATGATGTTCGCACAACGAAATCGCCTAACGACACATTTCTCAGGAGGTATCACTGTCCTTAAGCAACGCATGACTGTACAAAGCACTGAGCTATGCTCTGAGAAGTAACAAAGGGGAATCAGACATCATCCCAGCCATTAAAAAAACTCACAACATGGTAGGCAAGATAATATATGACTTACGCATTCATTCCTCAACGCACAATCGAATATAATGCAAGGTCGAATGTGACAAAGTAATTATGCCAGGCTGAAAATATTTTAGAGAAAAACCATAGACAAGGAAAACCTTGTGGTAACTATGGAAAACAAGACACAGGAGGAATAGTCAAGCTATGCACCTGTATCCTCTTACAATGTAGAAAGAACAAATGGAAATTCTACATGCTAGTTAAAATGTTTACCAGCTCAAAACCTTACCAACCTATTTGCAAGAGTTCTTCAAAACCACGCTGGAAGCACATTTTAGCTGAAAACAATTTCCAAAAGAATAGAATGATAATTATAATAAACTTATCTTAATTTTCTAAAATCATTTTGAGTTTTAGTTCAAGCTGGCAGGCACCTGTCTGTCACCACTACTGTACATTTTGCTGTGACCACTGAAGTCTGTCACCGTCTAGGCTTGGACCTATTTCTCCAGTAACATCCCCCCATCTTTCTACATCCAAATCTATCACCCCACCTCCCTATCCCCAGCAGTACAGCTATTTAGCTTATAGCAAATAAAACATCCAGATGTGTGGAAAGCCATTTTATTTCGAACTATAAAGGGTCTAATTTCTCAACGCTTATTTAAACACAGGAATAGTTTAGCATATCAGCTGCAGCTAAGAAAGGAGGCAATCAGCGTAGCACAGGATACGGCGAGAGAAGATGGAACAACAGATATTTGCTTTTGAAAACCATCAAGTTAATATACAGTCATGCACCACATAATGATGTTTTGGTCAACAATGGACCACATATATGATGGTGGTCCCATAAGATTAGTACCAAAAAGCCTAGGTGTGTCATAGGGTAACACATACCATCTAGGGTTGTGTTAGTACACTCTATGATGTTCACACAACGATGAGATTGCCTAAAGACGCATTTCTCAGAACGTATCCTCGTTGTTAAGCAACGCATGACTGTAACTAACATGCCTACCTCACAGAGTTATTTTAAGATGCTCTTTGTATAATAGAGTACTTTGTAAACTGTGAAGTGCTATACAACTTTCTGAACATGACCTTCATTGATAAGACTAAAATCTGATCAGCATCACCATAAAAAATTACCAGAGGCTTGTTTAAGAATATGTCTAGTCAGCATTTGCAAAATGAAAATCATACACAGACACTGGGGGACTTGCTGGGCTCCATTTATTCATTGCAACATAGGTATGGAACTAGCCAAAAAAACAAATAACTGCTACCATGGTAGACAATACTCAAAATTTTCATATATAATGAATACAAATGTAACGAGAAGTAAACAAACATATGTGAAGGCATCGTGCCAAGAACACAGCAAGCCCTTCAAAATGCTGGTCTCTTCCTCTTCTTTCTTCTTCATAGACAACATACGGCTGCAAGTTTATGAGTTACTATTTTTGTATTTTAAAGAGATGATACATATCGAGTTCCAATTCAGAAGTCACGTGATTTTAAGGAACGTGGGTCCAGCCTCACCAGGAGGGCCTGAGTTTGTCTTAAGTAAATTTATAGCAGGAGTGATTTAGAACAGTATTTCTCAAAGTAAGGCTTTTAGGATCCTTGAGGTTGGCTAAGGCACTTATTTGGGTGAAGTTTTCTGCCATCAAAACCAGAAAATAAAGAGACGGGGGTGGGAAGACACTTAAATTTAATTAAACACTTATTGTTCACAAGGTTGTCCCAGGCACTTCATACCCGCTATGAAGCAGAATGTGGTCATTTCTCAGTCCTTCTCTTACTCACCTACTAGCAGCGTTTGACAGAAGTGATTACTCCCTCCTGTCTCACTCATCAGCCACTTTTGATGATTCCTCCTCACCATCTGCACCTCTAAAGCTTGGGGGCCCCACAGCTCTGTCTCCTTTCCCCCTCCACCAACAATCAAGGCCTCGATGATCTCACCCAGCTTTCACTTCCATGCTGACGAGCTTCCAATGTTTCTCTCCTTTGAACTCAGACTCTTGGATGCAACTGGCTACTTGACATTTCTATTTAGATATCTGACAGACATCTTAAATTTCATATGTCCAAAAAATGAACTCTTGATTTTCCTCCAAACTCAACTTGTACTGGAGTCTTCCCTATTTCAGCAAATGGCAACTCCCTGTTTTGGGTTGCTCTGGCCAAAAAGTTGAGATTCACCATTGACTCGTCTGTTTCTTTCATACCCCACATCTAAGTCCATCAAATTCTAGTGGTTACCTTCTAAACATAACCTCTTCTCATTGCCTCTGCTGCTATCTTTCTAGTTCAAGCCACCACCATCTCTCACCTAGACTATTGAGATGACCTCCTAATTACTCTACCTGTTTTCATCCTTGCCCACCTACAACCCATTTTCAGCTTAGCAGTCAGGAAGGCAGATTGGTCACCGCTCTTTTTGAAACCCTTATATGGCTCCACACAGCATCTAGAGCAAAACCCAAAGCCCTCACCATGGGCTACGGGCAGCTCCCCGACCTGCCTACCCCTCCTCTCTCCCAACCTCACCCTTACCTCACCCCCCCAAACCCAATGCGCCTTCCTCACTAGTGACTGGGGGCCGCCTCAGACACTCCACACAGTGTCCACTCAGGCCTTTGCAGGGGCTATTTCTGCCTGGGATGCATTCTCCCAGGAATGCTGCCTCACTTTATTAGGTTTCTGCTCAACTATTATCTTAGCAGAGAGACTTTCCTAAGCACTTTATACCAAATAGCAACCCCCAGTGTTCTCTTTTCACCTTCACTGAATTGCTTGAATTTTCTTCATATCACTTATCACACCTGTCTCGTTACACATTTATTTGTTTTTTGTCTCTCTTCCCTCACCAGGATATATAAGCTTCCTGAGAGAAGAGACTGTTGCACCATCAGCACTCAGAACAGTGTGTGGCAAATAGCAGGTCTCAATAAATCTTTGTGGAATGGATCAACTGTTGAATGACAATCTCTACAACAGCTCCCCCAGGTATTCTTATCTTCATTTCATAGATGAAGAAAGGAAGGTGCAAAAAAAAAATTAACTGTCCAAGACCACAAGCTGGTTAATGAGAGGATGGGGTTTGAACCCAATGCTGTGGGACCCCCCAAGCCTATGTCTTCTCCTCCAGAACTATAGGCTTCTGAATTCTGGAAAATGAATGAGTACTGAATGAGTAATGCCTCCCTGGCTTGAGTGAGTAATGATGTAGTTGGGATGTTAGTGTTCACGTGCTCGAGGGCTAAGCAAGGAAGCCACCAAAGGCTTCCTGGTCACGCCCACAACCCTCACCAGATGTTGCTCTCAGCTGTGCCTGTTGACCTCCAGCAGAGAGCCACCCAGTTACCTGTAAATCCTGCGAAACCCAATCACCTTCTTTCTCTGTTTCTCCCAATGTACAACATGAAATCAAAGGAGTCCGGCAGTGAAGATAATTTAGCTCAGAGGGCACTCACTGCTGAGGTGAGGTGGGGATGAGGGTGGGAGGGGGACACTGGGGCCTAGACATGGCAAGGTGGGTGAAACCTTGTCTCCTGCCCCCACCAAAGCAATCTATAGCAGAAGACAAGTGTAAGAATAACTATTTGGAAATGAGAAAATTCACGAGAGGAATGAACTCAGAACAGATGATACTGGATGTTATGAGGGAGGAATTATAAATACTCTGAGGACCGAGGGAATATTTCAGCTGAACTGATCTCTCAGCTGGCTCACCTCCTCCAGCACAACAAAATGATAATGTGACATGACACCTAATTCATGAAACCTAATTCCCACTTTCATGGGCACTTTGCAGACTCAACATCACAACAGCTAACTATTAACTGTTCACCAATAAATATTCCTGTGTTGGCTATGACACGTGTAATGCCAGCGTCAGAGAAAATAATTTTGGCACGCATACCTGACTTCCTTGTGTCCTGAGTATTCACTACGAAGTCTGAAACTAAGAATCAACTCTGGGGGGGCCAGCCCGTTGGCACAAGCGGTTAAGTGTGCGCTCCGCTGCAGCAGCCCTGGGTTCGCCGGTTCGGATCCCGGGCACGCACCTACGCACCGCTTGTTAAGCCGTGCTGTGGTGGCGTCCCATATAAAGTAGAGGAAGATGGGCACGGATCTTGGC